ACGGGGGGTCCAAATCTGCTTAATAAAAATGTGCTCGTTATATAGAAAGAATAAATAGTAGGAAGTACGGGCACCTTTGGGACGAGAACCTGAGGTGGTGCCAAAGGTAGCCTCGTAAATTGAGCGGTATTTATATTTAGTGTGAATGATTACACAGGTTTTATTTTCAATGTTGCCAGTAGTGTTGGGTGAAGTTCATGAGGTCAAGAGCCTGGGAGTAAGTTATCCGCCCTTGACGGTTGTGAGGGCTCCCTGTCTGGGGTACTGGCTGCTGCCTCCTTGCTTGCTTAGTGCGCGTCCCCACACACGCGCTCTGTGTTCCCATTACTCTAAACGTTCGTGCAGGGTTGAGCTCTTGCTCCCAAGTTCTACCTTACTGGTAATCGCCATGCTAATGTAGCGACCCCGCCCCCCAACCCTCTTGCTTGTCATGTATACCTTTCACAGCGATCCTCATCCTGTCTGTTAGCATCCTTGTGATTCATCTGCGCCTCGGATGTCCATCAATATCCTCGTGTTATACCATGTATCCTTTATCCACCTTTATTAATCAAATTGTATTCCCACTGAGGATGATCAGATATGGCTCAACTGTGTTATCTATCTACAAGTGAAACAAATTCCAGCTAACTTTGCCTCTCATCGTACTTTAAGCCTTGGCACTAAAGTTCATGCTAGTTGCAAGCCTTGTTGCATTCCTTTGGACTTTGCTAGTATACTTTAGGTTCCTTATGTAGGGGAAATAAATGCTTGGGTGGCCCACTCCACAATGGGCTACATTTGTTTTGTTATTTTTGCTTATATCTTGTGTAAGCCTTGGCCGACGGTGCGCCCATGACGTCGGAGGTTGGTGACATGCTGTAAACCAATCACGAGGGGTTTCGCTGACTCGTGCCGTCATAGGTCTCTTCCCATTGGTTATACCAAATCACGTTACCTATAAATCGTCGACGGTCATGGCGTTAAAGCTCTACCTGACATCATGTTTGATGACAATAATACATTTAAATAGAACCTAATCTCGGTCTTTTTACATTAGTTTATATATTTTAACGTACGGTATTCCCCGAGAGTCCTTCATGCTGGTATGACACCAAAGGCTGGTCAGTGTTATGGTGACAAAACGCCTTCACCTTCATAACATGAAGATTGGCGTTACATTCATAAGTTTAGGATTCCTTATTTACACTTTGGTTAGTGTGTAGTTACTGCTCCAATTTTTGTCATGCCATTTTGAGCATTCCAACAGTGCATCCCCCCCCCTCCTCTTTTTTTTCTAAAACTGTCCATTTTTATTAATAATCATACAGAATAGATCATTTTTTGTATTTTTTATTTATTTTATTTATTATTAATAATTCATTGTCAGAGGACAGGAAGCCAGTGTATTTAAACACACTAGGTTTTTATCGAGACCTGTCCCCCTCCCCAGGTCGAATTACTGACCCTGCCCAACATGTAACCCCACAAGAAGCTGACCAACTCCAAAGTGCCTACCTAATGCTAGGTGAACAGAGCCATTAGTCGAAAGAAAATGTGCCCAACCATTTCTGTTTCGCCCGAGATTCGAATCTGGAAATATTGTTCGTCGAGAACTAACCCGACTGTACTGCTGGGACTTTAGTACGGTCATCCAATAATTGTTTTAAGTACTATCATTTCTGAAGGATGGGTTGCGCGAACACTTTATGTATCATACATAAATCTGTGTATTTATGTATTTACGTATGTAACTTAGCCTAGCATTTTAAAAGCACTATAATCACCATCTGTGGTTGAATGTTCAACAAATCCCTGAACTGTATGTTTGACAAATCTCTCACCCTATCCATGGAGGACAGAAGAAAAATGTATATATGCTGGTTAGCATTGTAAATGTGTGGCCACGTCTGTGGTAGAAAATAATAATAATAAAAAGCTACTGCCGCTACTGAAGTGGTGCCAAGGAGGCTGATCACGTGTAAATTACAACACCAGCCTCTGGAAAGAACTCCCAGAATACACGCTCACGCCCGCCTGTTTCTTTGAACACTGATACAATCTGAGAAAGAAGCCATTGCGGTTGACTGGCATTTCCTGGGGCCATCACAAAGCTGTTTTGATAACACGAGGTGGGGGGTGGGAGGGGGAGGAAAATAAGAACTTAATGTGTGTACTCTTTTTGTATAACTTTTTGCTAGTGTATGAAAAATGTGTAATAGTTTACTACCAAATATAAACAAAACGAAGGAAACTGTTCCCGGGATGATGGCGACCGTGTCTGTGGTGGTTGATCTAAATGTGGCTTCCACCCAGGCTCTCCCACCAACCCCGGCTTACTTGCGCGTTCCTCTGCTTTCGTCGAGTGGAATTATACTCTTAACAAAACTCTGCTACAGTGGTGAATAGCATTAATTTTGTAAAGTTTACCATGAGACCACAAAGGTACTCCCCCCCCATCTCAACACCCCACTGAACCCCATCACCCTTACTCCTTCCCTATTCTTGGGCATTCAAACCCATAAGTTTCCTCCCACTCATTCGCCCTCACAAATAACCTCCTTCTCGCATCCCACAACAAACACCACTGACGTGAAAGATAAAACGAGAAGCCTTAAGCAGGGTACATACGCTGGTGGACATTAAGGAATCAGAGGAGAGGTCCAACATTAAGAGTTCAAAACTTTAACCGATCTGTTAAACCAAGAGACCAAGAGATCTGTTAAAGTTTTACGCTCTTAATGTTGAACCTCTCCTCTTACTATTATGTTACTATTACCTACTCTATGACCTCTCGGTGCTATTCGACCCAGTACCGAGATGGTGCTTATTTATATCCACCCAAATTCATTTGTCTAACCTACGTTTGAAACAATAGTGATCCCACATCTATTGATACCTGGTAAGGTGTTCCATAGATAAACCACCTAATTTCCAAAGTAGTGTTATCCAGGTATTTTCTGAATCTCAACTTATGCAGTTTATATGCATTGTTTCGTATTAATATATTTGACAAGTTATTAGTGTGTAACTTTTATATAAATTTGTATACTTCAATCATGTGTGTGTGTGAAATTTAAACAAATACCTTTAAAACCTGCTTGCGTTACCGAGCGAGTTTGACATAAGAGGATTGTCGGCTAAAACAGTAATTGGCGGAGGAGTTGATCTGCTATGTAAGGAAGGTTTAATTAGTGTACATCATGCCAGTGAGGCTCGGCTGGCTTCCGCACGTGTATTGGGATACTCGGATCCGGGGATTGGGTCATTTGAACCATTTTTACTAAATCTGTTTAACTACTCTGCAATTCGGTTTAAACTATGCCTCGTGTTTATATACATTTTTGTGCTATTAATGTGTGTGAAGTGTTCACACGCATATCTTTAGTAGTCATTAAAACACATGTTCACACTTTGTGACGGTGTTGCACTGTAACAAGCCTTAGTGCAAGCTCCAGTGTTTTGTGTGTTGTGTGAAGAAAGCGGTGACTGCTGGCAGAGGTCTACCTTGCCAGCTGGCGCAGTGTTCTTAGCACAATACATTTAACACGAGGTGAAATAACATTACTCGTGACACGGTCTGATCCATGTTAGGGAAATTTCCTATGACATTACCAATAAACGTAAACAGGTGCACCTACGTATGTGTGTTGTACTACTTAACCCAGGTTTTTACTAAATTGCATGACGGTTACAGCTTTTAAACAATCTTTCTGGTCATAAATGAGTTTTAAGTTGCCTGAATATGGTTTTATACCCAATTAGGCTAAACGAGTACTTTCTTTAATTGAAGAGGCGTTGACGAGAAAAAATATGAATTTTAATAAATCCACTGGCAAGAATAAGTGCTATTCCAAGTCATTAGAAAAGTGGCAGGTAAAGGGGAAACCATTTAAAACTGTATTAAAAGCGGCAGGCTAAGTAGTTGATCCCATTCATTCCCAGGAAGGTGAAAATGTATGTCAGTTAGTGCGATATAATAAGGCGAGTGGTGGCGAGGACGTTAACATATGTCAGGGGAGGGGGTTGTGGGTCCCTGGAGGTGGTGGTGACATTACCGTATTACCTTGTTGACCCACATCCTCGTCTCTGATACCCGGGACACAGTTTGGGGTCTTCTCCTTAGTGCCTGCCGCATGCACGCCATTGCTGCTTTCTTTACTAGCTGTGTGTAAGTTTTTGTCTTAAGCAAGCATAACGTTCAAAGTTGTCGGTCTGTGGTTAGGGAGGCGAGTGATTTGGGTATAGCAGTTCTTGAGCGAACTAGATGTGGGTAAAGGGCAGTGTGTGGCCATTGTGAAGGCCACTTCTCAAGCTCTATCACACGTACCATGTATCTGGTTGTGTCGTTTTAGTCACACGGTTATTGCACAGTCCCTGATGAAATAAATGTTTAATTTTCGTTCTTGCACCTTCACTGTTCATAGGGACCGGAGATGTCTCTTGATGGCTGCGATCTAGACCGTTCAGACTATGTTGATGTAACCTGTCCTCTTAAACAGGAGGATGGGCTGGTTGATGACCTTGATTTCGTTTTTTTTTCTTCTGGCGCTGCGTTGTAAGTTTCAAAATACCGTTTTAATGTCCTGTTCATTAAAATGATTAAAACAAAGGGAGACGTACATCGCATAATGCGGAGTGCGCGTGTGCCAGCCAGTACTGGTCAGCTGGACGGCCTTCTCTGAAGGCTGCCGGCCGTCACTCGGGGACTGGAGAGGAAGGCAGCCACACTTTGGGCCCCACCTGGTGCCGCATTGTGCCACCGCTACGACAAACTGGGCTCTTGGTTTCGGGTGGAGGGAAGCGCGCTCGCGTCCCTCATGGTAAGAAAAAGTTTTAATACAAATTACAAAGCCTCATTATGATTATTATGTACGTCTGCATATTAAGGGCAAGTTATAAATTTAAACTTGTATGCATATACTCACGTACGGAAATGTCGTGGCTGTAAAATTAGAAATGTATAAGAGTTGTAGTGTAGAAGAGCAGCAATATTAATACCGGCACCGCATTGTTCACAGGTCGTGTTCACTCTGCGACCGTCTCCACTGTCAACGCTACCGCCAGGAGTGTCACAGTCGAATGGTTTGAGAAAGGCGAAACTAAAGGGAAAGAGGTAAGTACCACTCGTACTTCCATTGTAATTCAGGGGAAGCCTCTGGCCATAGACTATCAGTGTCGGCTAAGACTAGCAAAGTCAGGTACAGTATAATGAATACATGTATTCATGTAAATAATTTTTAAGAATTTGGATATTTATGTGGTTTCCTATCAAGAAACCTGGTTGTAACGGAATGTAATGTTGATCAGGTATTCTTTGGATTGAGTGTTTATTGAGTTGGATTGTGTTTGAGTTCTCTTGATCACCGTGAGAGGTTGGCCAGTTATGCCCTTGATGCATAGTGGAAGTATGTTGAACAGTCTCTGACCTCTGATGTTGATAGTTTTCTGAGTACCTGTTGCACCTCTGCTTTTCACCTCTGCACATCCTTCCATACCTTCTGGTCTCTTGTAATGTGGTGATTTGTGTGCCGATTTGGAACCAGTCCCTCTTAATATTTTCCAAGTAAATATTGTATCGCTCCCGCCTGCGCTCAAGAGAATGCAGATTTAAGCATTTTAATCGATCACAATAATTTAGATGTTTTTATTAAGTGGATTCTGGCAGTGAAGGATCTCTGCACGCTCAGCAGGTCAGCAATTTATCCAGCCTTGAAATGCGCTGTTATTATGCAACAGTGTTCCACAAGAGAGCACTAGCGTCTTGAAAAGTATCATCATTGGTATGGCATCTCTTGTTTGAAAGGTTCTTGTTATCCAATGTCATTTTTTCTTTCAGTAGCGTAGGCTAATTTATTGTGTTTTTTAAAGGTAAGGTCTTCTGACATGATTATATCAAAATCCCCTACATCGCTTTTTCGTTTTATGGTATGATTTGACAGTTTTGAACATGGTTTCTGTTTTTATATTTTCGTTTTTTTATTTCATAGTGAAGGAGCTAGGACTTCATTAAATACCATATTATTTTCTGTGGCTCATTTGAAAGATCTGATTTACATCAGATTGGAAGTTTGCTATATCCGATATATTGTCTACTCACATAAAAATCCTAGTGACATCTGCAAAGGATGATAAGGTACTATAGTTTGCATCCTTGTCTGTGCCCAATATGAGGAATACTATTGGAGCAAGCATCGCAAGCACAGTACCCTTGGTGACTGAGCTCTTGATGGTCCAGACAGTTGATGGTCTATGGAGCAATCTCCTTTTTTTCTACTACCACCACCACCCAACCACCACCACCACCCAACCACCACCCAACCACCACCACCACCACCCAACCACCACCACCACCAACCACCACCACCACCACCCAACCACCACCACCACCACCCAACCACCACCACCACCACCCCAACCACCACCACCACCCAACCACCACCACCACCACCACCCAACCACCACCACCACCCAACCACCACCACCACCACCACCACCACCCACCACCACCACCCCACCACCACCACCACCACCCAACCACCACCACCCAACCAACCAACCACCACGACCACCACAACCAACCAACCAACCAGAACCAACCGACCATAACCAACCAACCACAACCAACCAACCACAACCAACCACCACCCACAATCACAACCAACCAACAACCCCAACCAACCACAACCAACCACCACCCACAATCACAACCAACCAACAACCACAACCAACCAACAACCACAACCAACCAACAACCCCCACCAACCACCCACAACCAACCACCCACAACCAACCACCACCCACCACCACCCACCACCACAGATGGAGAGGCACAATTGTGTTACATCAGCATTTTGCTCGTATTCCGTGAGATCTTCAAGCCTAGCCCCAAGCCAGGTTTGGAGAAGAACTCCCAAAACCCTTTCCAGGCATCTAAGGCCATGTCAGTAGTCAAGCAATTGTGATAGGCAAGTTGATAGAACAGTTGGACTCCCATCACACACAATGGGATAAAAACCCACACTTGTGTAATTTGTAAAATTTATGTTAAGATTAATGCCAACTCTTTTGCATTCTCCTAAGTGCTTTGTCAGGGTCTGAGCATGTGGTTAGGACGAGACTTAAATCTCAAAGACTAATGTGAGCTCATTAGTCATGAGGTGTAAGTCTTAAGCTGTAAGTAAAATTACTAGACACCTGGATGCATGGCAAATTATGTGGAAATAACACCTCTGATATCTTATACAGTGGCAATTCTGCAAACAATGGTCCTAAGGTCCCAACATCTTATCAAAATATATGAATTTATGACAAACCTCTAAACTGTTAGTGATGACTTGATAAACTCTTACTTAGTAGTTTTTACATAATATTGTTCCTAAAAAAAAAAATATATTGGTCTGTCATTTAAATCAGTGCAGCAAGAATTTATAGAATGGTGTCTGAAGAAATATTACTCTTTCAGTAAAGTTCTAAGATTTTAATTTTTATTTGTTTCAGATAGAGTTCGATGCTGTGTTCGCTCTCAATCCAGATTTGGCACCACAAGACCAAAACGCCATGCCACCACCCTCCAAATTTGTGAGTATTGTCACCCCGATATGTTGCCACCTTCAGAGCCACTTTGGCTGACATACCTCTAAGGCACACCTACTACAGCACCTACAAGGCATGTCCCACCTGTAGTAATGCCCACCGGTCCACTGCAACTCGCATACCCAAGATGTGCGTCTGGGTGTATCACAAGTAGCTGGGGCAACATTTGTTCACTACCACCTGTCACCGTTTAAACTTTCACAGTCTGCACCTCTCACGTGCATGCATGTAGCACGCACTTGCAGGGGCCCCACTGTTGGTGCTAGGGCGTAGGGCTGGCATTAAGAAGTGGTAGGCTTAGTGTTTGGGTACTGTATGGGATCTTATCTGTGGGGATGTCTTGATGCATTGTTAATAGTGAGGATGTGGGGTTGAGGGCGTGCATGGCCATCTCATATTCTAGCAGCCTCCTCTCCAGGTGCTCGCTAGTGTATATTGGATGTCAAGTTTTGCTCTCGATTATCATTTATGCCAGGAATAAATAACCTCATGGTTGCAAGAGTTGTATGGTCACCCTTCACTTGAATTCATTTTCTTTCAATTAATTTTTTGTAAATACTGTAATGTATGAGAGAGCTTGCACATGCCCAGTGAGGTTATTTCCAGAAAGTTTTCCACACCAGTGTTTATTCCTCTCGCTCGAGGGAAATATGCTGTCGGGTGGAGTTATGAACGAGCAAGAGTCGGACATACATGCACACACACAAACACAACCTTGTTTATTCTTGCTTATATTTGTCCCAATTTGTACATTAATTTTAGTTCAAGGTGCTGGAAACATCATAAATTACCATCATTGCAAGCCTGGTATAGTACTGTATTTGGGAGTAGCACCTCTGAAAAGTAACACTTGGTTAATTTTGCTGGATGATAGATGGAGTCACTTGCAAAGATGGAATTATAGAGGTATAACTAGTGAGCCAAATAATACAGTACTACTTATGATTCAATCTTAAGGTAGAACAGACTTGAAATATTAGTGCTTAGTTGTTTGTATTTTTGACAGCTTAAAGCTTCTAACAAACATGCTTGAAGGGAACAAGGTAACTGAGAAGAAACCATCTAACATGCCGGGTTACCACTGAATACAGCTTGGCTCACAGTAGGACGGCAATATAATTCTCCTTGGGTCATTCAACAAGCTCACTGGAGGCTTTATCAAGCAAGGAAGGAGAGGAGGTGAACGAGAGCACTTACGGTATTTCCTTCTTTAACAGTGGGTTACATTTAGTTGGATCACATGCTGTATGTTGTCATTCAGTATCTAGTGATCAAGGTTGGTGAGCTGAACTTTATCAATGTGCCACTCATGAATGCCAAGTATAGGTCTAAATACTCTCATTCCATATTCAGTATATAAATGAATATCTTTTAAAATGCCTTATGCAATAGAAAATGATCTGCTAGTCTTAGTTAATGTTGAAAACTATAGTTGTGGAGTAGTTTGGATGTAAGTAATACATCCTTACCAAATTTAGTGGTTTGAATTTATTGTCCACATGTCCTAAATTTGGTCATGTAAATCCTGGATATTTTGTGATCTTGACTATGGTCAAATAAGGAAACAATTACACACTAGTACGTTAATTTAAATTAGGCCAATTTAAAATATAGGAGGAGCGGGTGATAGCACATAATGCTATGATCACATAGTTGGCTTGTCTGACAGAAGTTTGTTTCTGGGCTTTTGAGGGTCATTTATAAATGTGTTGCTATGGACTGTCATGTTTCCAGCACCAGATATGTTGTCAGTGTAGTTGTACAGGTGTCTGAAGCAAGGTCCTGCCCAAGGCTGAGAGTAAGGACATACCCTTCCCTTTTATCTTCCTTGGGTGTGCTGGCAAAGAGTCAACCTCCCCCCAACCCCTACACTCATCAGGATGACGAAGACGAGGAATCCAGCTTGTCAGAAGCAGACCTTAGTGACTACGTGTCAGGACTAAATGTTGGTCGAGCAGTGAGGGGGTCTGGACGGTTCCTGAGATCTTCAAACACCAACACCAACGTTCCGGCAGGCTACCACCAACAGAGGCCTCCCTCGGCGCACACATCACACCTACCACGGCCTCCAGGGCACCAGGTGGCACGCTCCCAGTCAGCTTCCAGGCTTACCATGGTATGCCACCTAACCATCCAGCCTGCAGTTTCCCTTTCTTCAGGCCCTATTCTTAATACCCCTCCCCTTTCCCCTGGTATGCCTTCCTCTTAGATTCTATTTATCTTTTAGGTAATGAGGATCTGTCTTCATTATTCACCAAACTAACATGAAATCCTTGAATTCCTATGAGTGTAAGTATGCAAATAGTGGAGGGTTGAAGACAGGCCTTCTAGCATCTCCGGGTCACATGGAAGGTGGGCGGCAGGAATGAGTGTCGTCCATCCTTTTGTGCTAGACCTGGTACATATCTGTACCAGTACTGCATCATGTGGTGGTGGTCTCTTGTTTTGCCTGCTGGAATGCTCACCCTGTGCATGTCACGCATTTTACTGCATGTGCTTAATTAAATGAGCTTTTTTCGATCTAAATAGTGTAGATACTTTTTAACCATTAACCTAGATGTATTTTTTTTTTGGGTAGATTTTAGCGACATTTGAGTGCTTATATTTTAATAAATTTTGGACATCTTTATGGTGGACACAAGAAATATGAATTAAATACTACTGTATTTGCATTGTGACTTATGTTTATAGTCTACCAATACTGTACTTAATATTGTCAACATATTATTACAGTACAGCTAAAATTTTTATATTGGGAACACAAGGCTATACCTTTTAACAAGTGTTTTGATGGAAAGTGTGTGGAAGACGAGTATATGGAGCATGTTACGGGGCATGCAATGGAGTTGTCATGGTTTAGCAAGTGGTAACAGTACCCTTATATTCCCTAAACTGGTTCTCCAGCTGGTTTTAGCGTTAGTGCTGTTTACCGAGCCTCAAGACCGTAATTGTTTTTCTCCTGCATTGTTAAACTGTATTCTCCCAATTGTGCTCGGTTTTTGTTGTTGTTTACCGTTTACTTTTAGATTAGTTGTACATTTTTTTTTAGAACTTGCCAAGGTTTTTTTTCCAGGCTGGGATGTGATGAGTAAAACGATTGTATGAATCATTAACAGGTAGGCTTTGCATATCTGGAAACCATCTGTTAGTTTTAGTCATCCTACCTCAAAATTTGTTTTGCAATATTATAAGGATTTTGGCTATGTAGATCAATGTTTCAGAATGTGCATATGCAGAAATAATTTCAAATCATGGGCTTACTTAGTGTTGCATAAAAAAAAAATACTGTATATTCTTTCAGCTTTTTTGCCAAATGGTGACATTCTATAAAATCTTCAGGTGTACATTGCGTACTGTATTATACTGACAAATGCTGCGATCTCCACCCAATTTTCCACAGCCACTACTGGTTCATCTATAGTTGGTTTCGAGTGTCCTGCTCCCTAAGCCCGGCCTGGGTACAGATTTGTCTTATAACTTGATTGATAAGGCTGTTTGTTGCTTGGAGCAACTTGCAGGCCCACTTAAACATTACAATTTGGTTGGTCTGTGACTTTTCTGCAGGAACTTGTCTAAATCTCTCTTGAACACCTCAACTTACTCGGCAACACTGCTTCAGATATTTGATGGAAGTTGACAAGCAGTGGACCTCTATATACCTATCTGTAATTACAGGGATTGATATCTAGCCCTTTATGCCTTCTTCCCCCCCCCCCCCCTCCACCTAGACATTTATGCTAATTACCTCTTGACATTTAAGCTTTTACCACATTTTTTCTTGGATATTGAGGATGGAATTTATTTCGACAACTTTCTACTTGCCAACCACCAGTACAGAGCCTTTAGTCTTCTAAGGCTCAATTCAGTGTTGAGCTGTCAAATGTCCCCTAGCCCTACCTTGTGTAGCTTCCGGGATCAACAGCCTGAGGCCTGGTCTCCGACCAGGCCTCCCAGTTGTCGTCTGGTGAATCATGTCAAGTTGTGTTAAGTGTCACATGGTTAGTGAGAATGGAAGTTTGCCACGATTCTTGCCATATTTCCACCTGCTTGTCTGTGGATCTAACAGTAAGCCAACCTCGGGTTTATGTCCCCCACCTCTGTGCTGTGATCCCCTACCTTGAGGTGCTCCCGGGGCGTAGCGTCCCCGCGGCCCGGTCGTCGACCAGGCCTCCTGGTTGCTGGACTGATCAACCAGGCTGTTGGACGCGGCTGCTCGTAGCCTGACGTAACAACTGCTTCCCTTTTTAATCTGTGTACTGCTGCTACCCAGCAGCTAAATACCTGAACTTACTTACCTTGAATGCCCAGGGCATTTGGGTTCTTTGTTAAAATTTGTTTTTTTGAGAGTAGTGCTTACAATGGGTAAATAAATAAAAATATACATGAGCTTTAATTAGCATGTACTGTTGGTGAGTATTGGGGGAACCAGTTGGGTAAGATTTCATCCAATATCACTTTCTATTGAATTCTTTAGGAAACCACACCACAGTGTAACACCCACGGCCTAACTATCACCCCCACCACCCACCTTCCTCCACTCACCCTGCTCCATAACCTGGGATACATATTTATATTAGTGTGTGAATACACAAGCACAAGTAATGTTTTACATAAGCTGGTCCATGTACATATACCCAAATAATGATGTACAGTACACATCAAATACTGTGCCTAAAATTGTCCATGTATTGATAAATATTTAAAGTGACAAGCATTGCATCTAATGAACATTAATACTAGATTAATATTGTATATGTTGTTACTGTATTGATTTAAAATGTGATTTTTTTGTGTAAAGTTTTTAAACACTTGGGCTACACAGTAGATGTAAAAATATTCCCAGTGGATGAAATGTGTTGATAGAATTAACATTTAGTAATGCTTGTAAAGGGTTCATTAATTATGTTGTATAGTTGTAGGGGGTGCCATTATTTTAACTATAACATGTTAGCAGTGGCACACATTCACTCACGTACTCCTAGTTACTGTATATTGTATCATCTTCATGAACGCTTTTAATACACTTGGTCCCTCTTCCCCCCCCTCCCCTTACCACGCATTCTCCAGGATGATGGTGATGATGTGGATGATATGGATGATGCTGTAAGTAATATATCAAATTATAACTGTCACTGTCCTTGCTATTGTAGTACTGTACCACTGTCTGCTGATCCATTTTCTGTTTAATTGGTCATTTCAGTTTTTCATTACACAATGTCCTGAAAGCTTCACCCCCAGTGTTGTTAATTCGTGTTATTCAGCAGATTGATTCGTGGATGCTTCATGTCACAGGTTTTCTCATGTGCCTGTTCATTTATCCATTAGTTTGATATCTTTTGCTATAAAATTTGTAATAGTGTTCAGTTTCTTAGTGTCGTGGATGTTTCCTTTTGCTGTCCCTGTACTTAGATCCCAATGTTGTGTATCCTGGTTTATTAAGAATTCAATGATCTCGTTGAAAAGTTACCCGTTTATTTTTTTTCTTTAGGCATGACAAGTAATTAATGTTAACTACAAATTCAGATGTAACGTAGCATGATTATTTTAATTTGTGAAGTTCCAGGAACTGTACAGTATAATATAATACATGGCACACAGTCCGAAGATGCATTAGCTAGTTAACCACGTTGCCAGACTATATTTCAAAGCTTAGTTGTTGTATTGTAAGCAGGAAATTGCATATACAGCACACAGATCTACATTATTTTCCCAAATATCTAATGTTTATCTACATTGATGTGGTACATTATTTTACAGTATATAGTGGACCAGTTACATTTTTGGACTGTAACTTGTATAAAACTGCACTATATAAACAATGTCGTAATTACTTGGGCAAGTAATGTAAATTACTTGCATTTCCAAAATTATAAATTTGATAAATGGTTTTCCTTTTTAATTAGTTTTTGAGAAACTGAGAAATGGTGACTTGGAGACAAACTAAGTGATAAATTAGGAATATTTGTCACTGTGATGGTGTACTATCACTGCCATTTCTTATTCCTTTTGGGTGATGGCTGGGATGCTGATGTTGAAGGTGTCTGTGGATTGCCTGGTGAAGTCAATGATGTGATTATTTTGCCTTGCTTGATACAGAAAGGATACCTGGTTGGTTGATACCTGGTTGATGGGGTTCTGGGAGTTCTTCTACTCCCCAAGCGTGGCCCGAGGCCAGGCTCGACTTGAGAGTCTGGTCCACCAGGCTGTTGCTTGAAGCGGCCCACAGGGCCACATACCCACCACAGCCCGGCTGATCCGGAACTTCTCTTAGAAAACCGTCCAGTTTTCTCTTGAAGATGTCCACGGTTGTTCCGGCAATATTTCTTATAGTAGCTGGGAGGACGTTGAACAACCGCGGACCTCTGATGAAATGGTACAGCTTGCAATAGGATGAAATTCCTGCCCCAAAGATTGTTGACTGGTTGGGCATCTGTTAATATACTCTCAATAGTTGCATTAGTACCCTGTTCTCGGTTTCTGTTCCTCTCATCTTAATTTTCATCATTGTAGGCTTCGTGCGTCTCCATTAACTCCTCAGCTGTCGACTACTACTGGGGGGAAGTTAATAAAATGTTCCACCTCTGCTTCCAGTAGATCAGAGAAGCCTCCCTCCATCAATATTCCTGATAATTTACACAATTTGATTTAGTTCCTGGTAAAGTCTAGAGAAGGTAGTTAAATTATCCAAAGTGAGGGACACTTTGTTCCAGCCAGTACTGATATACCCAATGACCTTATACCAAGAAACTCTATGATGACAATTGTTCACAATGCGTGCTCACCAAAAGTTAGATATTCCAGTTTATGGGGTTTTGCTCTATTGCATCTACCCCATCTTGATATTGTGCAGCATATAACATTGAAATCCTAATATTATTCCCTGATTAAGAGCTGTATCAATGAGCTTGCATTAGTTGAAATGAAATTGGTCTTGTTTGGAATTTGGAAAACTTCAGCTGGGTGACCTAAAGTATTGTTTAGCTATTGTAAAACCTTGAGAGCTGCTTTTTTTGATTTGTAAAATAGTTCTACCCGAGGCATAAGGCTTGGAGAAAAATCTATGAACAGGTAACATGTTACCCAATTCTTTTTTGTTTAACCTCTGGTCCACTAGTAAGAGATTTGTTTCTTTCAAGGTATTGGTGTTTTCAGCAAAGAAAGTGTCGTAAATATTTGTGGAGAATGCTTGTGTGTGAGCACTTAGTTATTCAGATCAGAGACTCTTACCTTGTGTTGATCCCCGGGGGGGAGGGGGGTATTGACTTGTAACAATAATAATGCCAGCAGTACACACAAAACTCTCGCTATGTCAACCAGTTTGCTGCAGAATGAAATCTGCATCATGACGCTGCCACTGACTGTTCCAAATTTCATATTGTAATGGTTTCTAGTTTTACCACCATCCAATCCTTTAGAATAATTTCCCTTGTATGCTATAACCTTTTGGCTGCTTAATAATTAACTATTCCACACACCCCTTCATCTCTTAGAACCAGACAGGAGCTTACATGGTATAAATTCATCATGCCTTGGCAGCCCTGTAGGCTTACCCATTCCCCCATGCAATAACTATCATTTGGTTGACGGTAATGTCCCATGAACAAATCCACAAGGGCTGTGATGAGGGTTCAAACCAACGCACGGGATGGTCCCAAATTCTGGGACTATCCCGTGCGTAGGTTCGAACCCTTATCACGGCCCTTGTGGAATTTGTTCACTTGATACATCACGTCATTGCGATTTTTGCGTCTAATATCCCATGTTTCATTTTAAAGACTAACCCTGGTGATAAGTCTTCAGAAGAAACATTCTCATGTGAGATTTTCTTCAATCTGTATTACAATTTGTGTAATAATTTTCCCAGACATTTATGTTATCTTGGCTAAGGATTAATTAAGCTATGTTATGCACATGTCATTATGCTTGAGATGCTTGGAACAATGAAATGCAAAATGTTTAAGCTTAGCTCTTCCACCACCACTTTCATTGCTCAGTGATCAGCTGCTGCCAACCAACAACTAATTTGTAATACTGGTTATTACAGCTTTGTCAACTAAGCAAGTTGCATTGTCAATATTAATTGTCATGTTTGTAACATTTGCGATAGTGATATATTGAGCACATGTGCAGCATATTGTTTGCTTTCTTTGTCAACTGCTTGGTGACTCGTGCGCACTTAAAATATAAATTAACTGACTATTGTTGCCTGGCTAAGAGGATAATTATTCAAACTTTATTATATTTTGCCTAATGGCCAGAACCACACTTCTTGATCTAGTATGCAAGGTCCAATGTGCGTAACAGGCAGAATGATTTTCTTTTTCAAATATTTCTTTCCAGATGGGTTCTTTTCTAACATTAATAATCGATTATACTGTATTAGGCATGTCAATTATTGACTTGCCTAACTTAGTTGTATTAGGTTTGGATGGGTTAGGTTTATCATTTTAGTTTAGACTCAAATAACAAAATTCCAATTACTGTACTGTATATAATAAAATAAAAAAAAATCAAATTTTTTTTTAAATATTTCACAAATTTGGCTTGTTGGGCAACTGGCTATTAGGTAAGACATTGTATATTTGTATATATATCTGTATACAGTACATATGAGAGTTTGAACAGAAATTCAACTGCCATAACGGAGAAAATTGGTTTGTTGTTCTGGCTTGGGTGATAGCTATATAGTGCTTTAGTGCTGTGTAGTTCCTCAACATACTTGTCAACACAATAGCTGTACATAACTGTTAATAAGCACTGAAGTTGAACGCATTCTTTATTTACCCTGAGATTACCTTGATGGGGTTCAGATGATCAGTGGCCCCCATGACCTGGGCTCTGACCAGGTCTATTGGTAGGTGGAGGACTGGTACTGGTACCTACTGGTATTGGTGCTGGTGGAGCAAACTCTCACAATTCAAGCCTGGCCTCGGACCGGGCTTGAGGAGTAGGAGAACTCCTAGAACCCCATCAAGTAGGTGATCTGGTCAACCAGACTGTTAGATACTGCTACTTGATGTGAAGTATAACTTCATTATCTAATTTTAACCAATTGCTTTTGTATTCTGTAGTCATAAATCTTTTACATCGAATTTGTTTTTAATCTGTGAATTTCTCATTATTTGTAAAGCATTCTTGCAAAGAAATTGGAGTGATGATAATTCAGAAATTATTAGTTTCCTATTTATGGTAATTTTCACACTGCTTCTCAGTTTCTCAGCCCTTCATTGTGTGTACAATCTTATTATTGTTATGGCTATACCAAACCATGCATTAATTTTAAGATATGCCAGCTACAGCATTCTGGGAGTGCACACATTATAGGTGTACAACCATACGTGGAAATTTCCCTAAAATTCATTCACACTATGAAGGGATTTGTTGGAGATCTCCCTCACCCCAGACTGAATTTCTAGCTACAGCAGAACCTTGAGAATCTGAAATAAATAAGATCAAGCATATTAGTTTTTAATTTTGTCAGACAATTTTATTGGGGCACAATAATTCAAACATTTGCAAATGTTTAGATTTATGTATGCTGCATATGAAATTTAACCATTTGGCATGTCAGACGAGCAAGCTGCTGTCTAGCAAGTACCGGTCAAACACTAACCAACTGTGGTACAATGCCCATAAGAGGAAGGAATAGATGGCAGCTATATAGTGTTCTGTCCCTGTTAGATATGTGGTGTCAGAGGTAACCAGTAGTTAACCAGTAGTGTTCCATCCCCATGGCAACAAGTAAAATATATAACAGTAGCACACTTCATCCATGTTGGGGAGTCAAACTGCTGGGTCAGCAGTACAGTATTGTAAAGTATATAAGTAGTAAAGTATGTACAGTACAACCTTGATTCATTGCAATGAGGGATTTGTTGCAACCAGAGATCCTCCAGGATGCATTTCCCATGCCCTATGGGCTAATATCACTTTGCTAAATTATCATTTCAACCTATAATACACAGGTACCAAATGAACATGTCTGCAAAAAGATTTGGCCACATCTAGCTTTTCTCACGTCCCCAGCATCAAAACTTATTTTCAAAAGATAGCAGGGTCATACCTGTGTGAACGAAAACCTAGCCAACTCAAAATTAAAACAAACCATAGAATTTATTTAAAAGTATCCTCAGTAGTTCACTCAAGGCTCCAACTATTTCATGTAATGTTGAGTCCATCAACAAAATCATCAAAAATGTGATTAAGAGTCATATTAAAAGTTACCATTCATACCCAATTATTTCCTCCACACTATGGGATGATTTTACCGAGTTTTTAAATTCGACTTGTCATATGAAGGACAACTACAAAGAAAACCCATCTGTAAAGAGATTTAACCATATCTTGCATGTTTCCCATGCCCAAACCTCTAAATCTCACTTTCAAAGGAAAAAGGGGCCATATTTTATTGAATAACTGTACGGGGAAATTATTAGTTTGTCCCAAATCTCTGCAGCTGGAAATAAAGAACCATAGTATTTGGTTTTAAATATGCACAGTGGCTTTCCTAAGGCCTCAACTATTTCTTGTAATGTTCCCTCCATTTGTGAACTTTGTCCCAATATCCTAAGGTAAATTTACACATCCCCTGCTTCAGCTAACTCATGTTTGTAGAGTCGGGTGAGTAAATCTAGCATGGAAAGTGTTCTAACTGGAGATTAGCTGAATCAAGTTTCCACTGTAGTTTTCTTGTATATTTGGACAATGTAATTCTTTTCAATGATGCCACATGTAGGATATGTGGCATCTAAGTAGTGATCCTGCTCAGAAAAGGTAATGGGACAGTGGAGTTTTCTTAAATCGACTTACAGCATGGCAATAGCTTATTTCTGATATTTCCAGGAATTTTCACAGTATTATTAAAAGAAACTGGCACTTTAATCTTAATGCTGTAGCGTTTCAGATCATGTTAGATGCCATTAGACGATTCAATGTCTTTAAAGGATTTTGGCATAAAGTAATTGCAACGCATCCTCCGAATTGACAGTATGGTTTAATACGAAGTGTAATAAGTACATTTCCTTACTACCATACATAGTACATAATTGTACTTATGGGGCTGTTACATTTACCTCCCCATTTTTTCTCATTTTCTGTCAAGACACTCAGAATTTTAGGATAAAGTTTTTAAGTTCAATTCACTATACACAAGTTTTAAATATCAGGAATTTCTTTTTCAGTTTTATTAAACAATAGAGATTTTATACAAAATTTGAAAATATTTTGAGTTTAAAATTTATAGATATATTTTAGTTTTGTTTTATTAGTTTTATAAAACTGTAATATCAATATAGCTGTAGGTTAAGTACTAATTGTAATTAAGAAGCAATAAGATGCTTATCTTCAAACACTGAGGAGGTTAGGTCGTAGTTTCTTGAGGTTATCTTGAGATGATTTCGGGGCTTTTTAATGACAGTACGGTTTAATACTAAGTGAAAATACGTACAATTCCTTACTGCTATGAATAGTACATAACAGCACTTGTGCTTTTACATTTACCTCTCAAATTTTTGGAGGACGGGCTGAGTAATTATTAAAACACATGAAAGCCTAGTTCATTAGCAGTACACACATTTCAAGGTTTATTTCAAAGAAATTAACCAACTATATTTTTATATTCTGCAAAAATATCATGGTTGACTGAATTATGCTTGTCGGTTTCTGCATACTTCCTGAACGTTTATGCCTTCATTTATTATGCTCTTATACTCATGATATTGAGCGACTTGTGATCATTGTATACCTTGTTCTCATTTTCACTCTTTGCTAAAGTAATCTTGGTAAAGCAAAGTACTTTGCTAAAGTAATCTATCAACTAGCTGGAAGCTGCCACTAAATGCATGAAATTAACAAAATAAAACTTGCCGTTTATCGAGTATTACAACAGCTGTTAGCATGGAACTAGGGTTGTTTAATTACATTCCATACAATAACAGTGTGTTGTTAATTAGATATTGGCTTTCATGTGCAAATCAGCTATTTTTCTTTATGTAATAATAAACTTCATTGGTCCACAGTACTCACGGCAGTCACAGATCACACAACCTGCTGCAGCACCTGTCACGAGAAGTAAAGGTTGGTTGAACAAAAGATAGCTACCTTTATTTAAAATTAATGCCTATTATCCAGCACGTCCTCTTTAGCATTCATGCCACTAAACTAGATCTCTTTGTAACTACTGTTTTTCAAGTCTTGATGCAGTTTTGTAGGATGCATTTGCACCTTTTCCAGTTTATTGATGTGCTTCTTGAGATATGGGTATCGTACAACTGCTGCATGTTTCAATTTTTGTCTAGCAAGAGTCATGAACATTTTTAGTATTTCACCAGAGTATGTGTGTTTATTTACCGTTCATGCCTGTAGAATAGAGCTATTAGCTCTTGAACATGCCTTTCAAATCTATCGATTTTTTTCATCTATTATATCTATTGCATGTATTTCTCTTAACACATCCACATACACATCCCCAGGTAGCAGCCGTAGCAGCTGTCTAACTCCCAAGCACTTATTTACTTCTAGGTGAACAGGGCCATCAGGTGAAAGAAACTGTCCATTTGTTTCAGCCTCAACTGTGAATTGAATGCAGGCCCTTAGAACTATTACCCCAAGAGAGCTGTCCACTCGGCTTCAAAGCCATGTCTGTGCACTCGATTGTACTCGTCTAGTTGTGCTTGCTGGGGTTGAGCTTTGGCTCTTTGGTCCTGCCTCGACTGTCAATCGGCTGGTGTACAGATTCCTGAGCCTATGGAGTCTCCACCACACATCACTGCTTAATGCATTCCATTTGTTAACTACTGACACTGAAAAATTCTTTCTGTGGCTCATTTGGGTACTCGGTTTCCATCTGTGTTCCCTTGTTTGTGTTCCACCCATGTTAGTTTCTTTGTGTCCACCTTGTTAATTCCTCAGTTTTGTAGGTGGTGATAATGTTTTCCCTTACTCTTGTGTCTTCCAGGGAAGTGAGGTTTAACTCCTGTAGCCTTCCCTCGTAACTCATACCTCTCGGTTCTGGAACCAGTATGGTATACTTCTGAATCTTCTGTAACTTTTGTGTTTAACTAGGTATGGACTCCAGGCTGGAGCTGCATACTCCAGGATTAATCTGACACAAGTGGTATACAAGGTCCTGAATGATTCCTTACACAAGTTTCTGAAGGCAGTTATTATGTTGGTCAATCTACCATATGCTACTTAAGATATCCTTTTGATGTGGGATTCTGGGGACAGGTTCGGTGTGATATCAACCCCTATATACAGTATCTCTATTTGACTCTTGCAGGATTTCACCTCCCACGTGGTACCTTGTGTTTGGCCTCCTGCTCCATTAACCTAATTTCAGTATTTTACACTTACCCAAGTTAAACTTTAGTTACCATTTTCTAAGAGCATTTAATGTGTTAGTGTTCGTAATAGCAAAAGTCTTGGTATGCAGTTTTGTCTTGATTATAGTACAGTACTGATAGAGTTCTTTTTCAGATTTCAATCGGCCTCGCCAAAGCTACCTTGTGAAACCACCACAGAATGGAGAAGTTCGATCAAATTTGCAAAACAAAATTGGCCAATCACCTGCCAGATCTACAGAAAATATTTCAACATCTACTGTCAGTAAAGCATCATCTGTACCAGCTTGTGAGTGTTTTATTGTCTCATTATAAGTATAAATTGGCAAGGTTAATGTTGACCTGCTGTGACCATGGTCGCACTGTGCTCTAATTACCCCATTCCCTCAAAATAAACTACAGACAAAACAGCGTATTATACTTTGGGTTGTTTATTATGGTACAGTAGATGGAAATGTTAATATTTTGTAAGGGGGAATAATCTTATTTATCCAGCTGCAGAGTTTTCTCAGTACATACTTTATAGTGTGTTATTTAAGAAAAACACAAATCGTGCAGCAGCTTTTTAGTAGTACTGTATTGTACAGTTTGCTGACACTGCAAATAATTTTAGTTCAGGACATTCCATCAAAAGCAAGTTTTTTTTTTTTTTAGTGTTTAGCCATTTTTAATTATGCTTTAAAGGTAAAATGTACATGCTATACTATACTGCAAGTGTAACATGGGGCAGGGTAAACTAGTGAGTTTTGGTATGATTGCAAGTCTTGAACATCGATGTACTCCTGAGTAGTAGTAGTAAATCTTCCTCCTTGCTTTCTTGGAGCAAGAAAAAAAGGGGGGGGGGGGGCTTATTTTGCCTGTGTCAGTGCCAAAGATGAAAGTACAAAAATGCCAATATCTCTTGTAATATAATCCAAAAGTATACTTAAGGTAGGCATCAAACAGAAACCTGTTGGAAATAGTGAACCATTACAGTATTGGTACTGCAAAATGTCCAATTAGAAAATACCTTGAGGAAGCACTTGGGTACTTATAGCTTGGTTAGTACTATAGTAGCACATTTAATTTCTTGTAACATTTCCCAAATGCACACAAAAGAAATGTGCATTTATTAACTTTTATTTCAGTAATTGTGAATTTGACAATGTTTGTTTATGGAACAAATTATGTACTTAAGCCCACTGGATTGTTTCAAGTGGAGGTTAGACATCTGCAGTATACCTCTGAGAATGTTTGTTCAAAGTAGGCAACTAGACCGGTGGGGGCTAACCTCACAAAACATTGCAGGGTAAATGGTCTGGGTTCCAGACAGTGCATTGGGTGGGGTGATTGTAGGGCCCTGTGTCCACATTCTGCAGCAATGGGCAAATTACACTAATTTCCAAGCTCACTAAAAAAAAAACCTCGCTAATTCATCTATTATATTGAATTTTAGGATGGGCGGAGGTGAAGGTAGTATTGTACTCAGAGGATGGGGAGAGGAGGAGGATAGGGCAGGAGACATGGGTACAGCCGAGTACCCCATATAGTGTGTGTGTGTGTGTGTGTAAATAATCTCTAGGATATAAATGTTAGCATGACATTTTTTATTTAGTATTTAGTGACTATGGTTACAGAAATGAAGAGTAGGAGAGAGGGAAGATTGAGAGGCGAGTGTGAGGAACGTTGGCGAGAGGCCCAGGTTCAGCAAGGTATCCCACCTAGTACAGTACTTGTATATGTAAACAAGTTTGGGTGGATATATATATATATAGGATATGCCTTTTATGGAACAGTAGTCCTAATGCAGTTTCCTTTCTTCTAGTGTTATCTATGTTTACCAATTCAAAAGACACAAATGCAGATCTGGAGTGTTCTCATGAATTTGGCCTATATTGGATGTCTTATGTCGGGTATTACAACAAACCTTGAGGACTTGGCAAAGGAATTAGTCAATATGATTATGCACTAGGGGTCTAGGACCAGATTTCATTGGTGTGGACACTAGTTATAATTATGAAGAATCAGTCTAGAAATGAGACATCTTGCAAAGATGGCCCACTTTAAACAAAGGAATGGTAAAAACTAGACTAGTTTCACTTACTTCTCATATTAAAAGTTGTGGGAGGGTGTTAAAAAGCCACATTACCAATTTAATAAAAAAGAATAATTTGTGTAATCCTGACCAAGTGGGCTTTAGAGCGGGACGATCTTGGCTTTTGAAACTACAAAACTAGTGTGTTGTTATTTCTTGCTTTCATAAACATTTCAAACCATCTTCATTATTTAGGATGGGATAGTTTGGGCCAGAGTGAGACGTGCATATGTATCTATCACACTTAACAACCAACATTTTAGTGTGTGTTGTATGATATCAACTTGCTCTTGTATATTGTATTGCTCCTGGCTTAAAAAACAATGTATTTACTAATTTTGTTATGGTAAAACCTTCCTAATCAGTCGGTTAGTAATGTCGTTTGTAAAAGGTTGTACAGTTTTGTCAGTAATATAATTATATATTTGATATAAGTATTACAGTGATGTGGTTAATTTGGATACTATGAAAATTTGATTAGCGAACGTGTTGCTATTGTAGGGCGAGGAATAGCTGTTGCTGTCGGTTCATTCGGTAAGTTTGAAGATGGCGTAATATAGATAATGTGGAGTTTGTGTTTCATCTTTATAATCTACGTTTTCCACATCCAAAGGAGGATGATTTGTATAGAATTTCCTTTATTCGGCAAAATTATATTTTTAAAATATGGCTACTGTATATATATTTATCTAAAATATCTATCCCATGCTATGTGGACTTTTATATTTATTCCTGCATCCACTAATATATTTTTTATCACCTTACATTTAAATAGCAAGAGTTACTTAGTCTTTATTTGTACCCTTGCAGACCTCTGTATCATGACCCATTTCAGCAACATATGTCAGTGTTCTTCCCTGGTATTATCTTGGGTTAGGTCTTCCTCTTGCATTCCTTGACATTTTTTTTATTTTGCTATTACCATTTCATCTTGTATCTATTGAAATTATTTTTTATCCACATGTTTTTACACATCGTTCTCTTGAAATATATATTCTTGTTTTTTCTGTTTGCCTTGTAAATTATTTCTGATCTTTTGAGGTCCTGCACATTAGAATAGGCAGAGCTATTGCCTTCCTACACACTGAAAAGTGAGAGCTTCATGCCCTACTCTTCATTCCAGTGTTTAGTGCATTCATTTCTGTCTGTTGTGTGTCCTTGAAGCTGTTTTTGTCTGCGAACTCCGAGGTGACTTTGTTTACTCTTCCGTGGCCATCACTGCTGTTCCCACTTGAAACATTTGGTTAGGTTTAACAAATGTTGATTTGTACAGCATGTAAGTGATGCAGTTTACATTTATTATGAAAAATAGGGATGAATTGGAAGGATGAGAAATGCATTCTTTATATAAAATGAGACGGGTAGACCAGAGGAAAGCAAATAATAAGGAATTATAAGTCTTCCAAGAAAGGATCGAATGGAGGAGGATTGTAGATTTTGTTCTGACCGTGCAACCTGCTGTTTCCAAAGTGTTACTTTAATATTATATTTTGCCTTCAACTTTACGCTTGTAAGGATAATTTTAAATTTATCTGCTGTCTTGCAATTCAGAATTTGTAGTACTGTAGTGCCAGATCTTTTTATTAGGCTCCACTGATTTCACTAATATAATTGTAGTTATTAGAGACTTGATAACTGTGATATCACCTGTTGGATGTTGGTAATTACCCAAGTGTAGTTACATAATGAGAGCTACGCTCGCGGTGTCTCGTCTTCCCAGTACTGTCATATAATACTTTGAAACTACTTGGGGTTTTGGCCTTCTCACTTGGCTTCTCCGAACTGTCTACTACTGTCTGAAAAATAAAACTTTCTAATGTTTTGTCTGCACCTTTTATTTCTTTAGCTTGAATCTGTGTTATCTTGTTCATGATGTTCCTGGTTTCAAGAATTTTTGTCAATTTGGTCAGTTCCTGTTAGTATTTTGTAAGTGGTGATCTTATCGCCTCTTTTTTTTTTTTCTTCTATATTCTAGTTTTGACATGTTTAATGCCTCTAGTCTCTCCTCGATTGTACAGATGTACAGGTAATTACATTGCCAGTAGGTGTATAGGTTAGTGTGCTTGCACACTGACAGTTAATGACTGGTAAGTCAAAGAATTCACATTTTACGAAGTGTATTAAGAGATTTAAATCCTGTAAATATTGATTCCTCTGGAGAAATTGAAAGAATATAGACTTATTTGAATAAAGCTTTGCATGCACTTCCTACGTGGTTTCGCATGGAGAAGTGTCTGCAGGAGTGTGACAGCTGTGGTGCAGCTTTGAACAGTTCACAATGTTCAAAACAATGTATGAATACTATGTGCATGTAATAGTTTATACATTTTTAATTTTATAACAGCTGGATTGGTAGTATGACTACAAATTTTTTGGGTGCAAAATAACTTAATGTATATATTTTATATTTTATAATTTTTTGTTATACAATATATAGAGCAGTACCAATGCATCCATTTTTCTACTATAACTTTTTTTATACATGGGTATAATCTGTTTATACTCCATAATGTTTATAAAATATGCATCACATTGTAATATGTGCATTTTCTTTGTACAGTACAGTATATAAATAGGCTACACCCAGGGCCGGCCGGTGCTACCAATAGGCCATCTAGGCAGCCACATGTGGGCGCTAACCTCAGAGGCGTAATACTAATCTTTTGAAAATTGTTGACCAAACCACACACTAGAAAGTGAAGGGACAACGACGTTTCGGTCTGTCCTGGACGATTCTCAAGTCGATTGTAACTCGATTACAAGAAATTTGACCCAGCTCGCCAACATGTGTGAACTTGAAGTGGTGTTTGCTCGCTTTAGTGATTTTTGTCATTTTCTCTTGTATTCTTGGTAAACATAAGTGAAATAAGTGAGACATAAATGAGAATTGATGTGAATGTTAAAGCTGAATAATGAATATAAATATGAAGTGTTTAAACATGAGAGAAGGGCAGCATTGGGTAGGGAACGTGGTGATGAATTTGAGCACATTATAGCCAATGTTAATGCACCAACAGTCGGAATAAATTTAAACCGATATTGGTCTCTAATTCCCTCCATTCCCTCACAAAAAAAGAAGTCCCCGTGGGTAGGCTGAGAGATAAAGGACAGAAGAATGAAAATAAATTTACAAGTGAATTTTGTTATTTTCTTGTCAGCAGATAATAGAGTAGTTTAAGTGCCCATCAATTTAGTGTTTTCCTCCCCAAGTAAAGTAGTTGGTCTTGCCGAGGGAGAAAATAGTCTGGCAACGGCCCTGGCTACACACACGTTAAAAAACATTCATTTTCAATAAATAGAGCAATACAAAGTGTAGTAATAAAGATTTGTAGCCTATGTAGTTGAGAGTAAACCATACAAAATATTGTATTAATCTGGAATGCGCACAGGATAGGTTATTAGTTTTTAATATAAAGTAATGCAGTATTATGTACTGTATTTGGTTTAACCTAGGTAGGTTAAGATAAAATACAGTACTGTATTAATTGTTTCTGAAAAAAAGTTTTATCATTTTAACATCAATAAATGTTTTGTCGGTTTCATTATAATCAGCTCGGCGACGGAGTAATGTGGTTAAGGAAGTGGACCGTATTCAGAAAAAACGGGAAGAACGTAGAAAACAGCAGGCAGAAAAAAAGGAAGAGAAGGAAGCCCTTATGAATCTTGACCCAGGAAATCCTCAGTGGGAGTTTCTTAATATGATTAGAGAGTTCAGGTGAGTATGATATTAAAGTACCATTGAAATGTGTCAAGTGTGGTGAGGCATTTCTGGTAGACAACCTTATGATTGTCAAATTTCTTTTTAATCATTAAAATTGGGACGGTGATATATTAAAAATTGAACAATTTTCTCTTGATGGCACATTTTAGAATGGCTGCATTTCTGCTCAAATTTGAAATTGACCCCTTTCTGCTTAATTCCAACCCTAATTGCATCTAGCATTGACGTGAAGTAGAACATTCATATATTAATGTTTTAAGATTGTATGCTTACATGACAAATTATCCAACAAGGGATTTTTATATTGCACACTTGCTCTTTGTATAGTTAAGAAGAGCTGCATAAAAACAGTATCACTACTACTATTTATTTTTGACTAGAACAACCATGAGAGTACCCTGGTGTGCAGGCCATGCATGGTTTCTACTGACCATTCAAAGTTTCATTGAACACATTTGGTTTATGGAAATTAATCAAATGTAACCTAATCTAGCCAAATGTATCATTCTTTTAATATTATGAATATAATACTGGGATGAAACTCCTAAGAACATCTACCATTAGATGGAAGATATTTTAACTGGAGGGTGATGTGATCTGTGGACTCGTGTCCTTTTTCTTCCTTTCATACAGTTGCTTGAATAAGAGGACCCTGTAAATCTCAATTTTGTAGGTGCAGAGAGCACAGTAAAAGTCTATAAATTCTTGGTAAGACCATGATTAAGTTTTAGTTCCTTGTTTACAGATCACAGTTGGAGTTTCGAACATTAAAAGATGGTGATCCTCTAGAAGAACATCAAATTACAGTTGCTGTCAGAAAAAGACCACTTAATAAAAAGGGTAATTATAATTTGATGTATTTCATGTGTATTTTAGAGATATTTTGTAGATCATGCAGTTTAATTGCTGTATATTAAATTACATGCCCCTATTATGGTGGTTTAGCTGGATCTTCACAAGCAATTTATTAATGTATAGTCATATAAATATATTTTTATTTACTTTCAGAGGAAGGTAAAAGAGAGATAGATGTTATCACGATTCCAAAGAGAAATTCACTCTATGTTCATGAGCCCCGAACAAAAGTTGACCTAACGAAATATCTTGAAAATCAGAATTTCAGGTTCGATTATGCATTTGATGAAACCTGCAATAATGAACTGGTTTATAAGTAAGTTGAAAATGTTTATATGCATGATTTTCTCGTATGATACTTTTTCCATTCTTTCCTGTATTCATACATGATTATAATGAATAAAAAATTGCTTTTACAGTTATATTGTCTGAAATCTTTTTTAAACATGCTCAATGGAGGCTAAGAATCTGATTAAACTACATACATGCACTCTTACCTTCACTATATGCTATGGTGGCCTAAGGATAGCTAATGTCAGATTAGATGAGCAGACATTATATTTAGTCATCCATAGCAAAAAGCTTCAGTTTTTATCATGTTTCTTAGTAGAAAAAATGATTCAGTTTGCCAAAAAGAAACTAGCATATGAAATTTTTTTTCATATGTTTAATTTCTTAGTCATAAGCATTTGAAAGAATTACAAATTTCTTTTTGTTATGTGGCCATCTTTTAAATGGAATATTTAGATTTGTTAATGTTTTACTTATGATCACATCACTGCTTGCTTTAAGCCATATGTTCACTGCAATCAACTTTCATATTTAAATACACCTGAAGTTGGGTTCACTTGTGGTACTTTACTGTAATGTTGATTAATATAGCTATGATAGCACACGTGACTGACACACTTGTACCTCAACAGGTATACAGCAAGACCACTAGTTCAGACCATTTTTGAAGGTGGTATGGCAACCTGTTTTGCTTATGGCCAGACTGGATCTGGTAAAACGCACACCATGGGTGGAGATTTTCAGGGCAAGAATCAAGATTGTGCGAAAGGAATATATGCTATGGTGGCAAAGGATGTATTTATCTTCACAAAGAATCCAAAGTATAGACAACTTAATTTACAAGTTTCAGCTAGTTTTTTTGAGATCTATGGTGGTAAGGTAAGATATAGTGCATTGTAAAAATTAAGTATTGTATAGTGGCTCGTTTGTGACCTATGAAACTCATTTCTCGTGAATGTTCATTGTATATTACCTCATTTTTTCTACTTACATTGGCAATTCTGGGTATCTTGCATATGTCTAGAGAATAGCATATGTGTATTACATGTCCCTTTGATCTCCTTAAGCACATAAAAGCATTTAAATGTATTATTGATACTTGCTTTGTTTTTAATTAAATGTTTTGAAAATTTCAACAGGTTTTTGATCTTCTAAATAGCAAGACGAAGCTTCGTGTACTTGAAGATGGTAAAAATGTGGTCCAGGTGGTGGGACTTCAAGAACGGGTGTGTGAAAATGTAGATGATGTTCTCAGACTCATTAGTTTAGGTTCTCAAGTGCGCACCTCTGGTCAAACAGCTGCCAATAATCAATCATCACGTTCACATGCCGTCTTCCAGGTAGGCTTTAATTTTTATGGAGTGATGCATGAAATATTAGAATGATCAGTGCAGTAGTTTTTGGAACAAAACATTTCTCGTTTCAAAAACCTATTTAAATTTTGTAATAAATTGTAGAAACAATATTAAATGTTCAAGTGTAACTCACTGGTCATTTTGCTATTGTTAAACTTGCTAGTACTAAGAGTTTTTATTCATTGTAATTATTATTTGACAGATCATTTTAAGAAATTTGGACAAAATTGAGAAGCAAGGCGATAAAGCTTACAAACTTCATGGCAAGTTCTCACTCATTGATCTGGCTGGTAATGAAAGGGGAGCAGACACATCCAGTGCGAACAGACAAACGCGTAAGTAGCTTGTACAAATGTTTATGTATGTGTTTGAAGAATGATTTAAAAAAAATTTAATGAGACATTTGTGGCTATTTTTCCTGACCTTTGTAATATATTTGTATATTTGTAACTAACGAGCAAAGTTGACGGTGAAGGTGATGTGGAGCTATACTATACAAAAACACAGGAAATCATCTTTGTGAACATACACTCTACACAATTTCATACACTAGCAATTGAAACAAAAAGTTAACATTAACAAAAATAAAACGTTTGGATTAATAAAAATGTAAGTTGGACATTAGCTATCCCTCATCTTTATTTATTATTTATATATACTTACATTCTTGTATAGCCACTAGCACGCATAGCATTTTGGGCAAGTCCTTAATCCTAATTTTCCCCGGAATACGACCCGCCAAATGGTTTAACCAGGTACCCATTCACTGCTGGGTGAACAGAGGCTCCTTGAGAGAGTAGGAAGAGGGGGGTAACTTTTTTTCAAGTACTATACACGTACGTCTCTGATAGGCTGTGAGGTGCCCACTGCCATTTTGAGTTTTACCAGTTAATCTAGTGAATGGATAAACATTTGTATGTATTGCATCTTGTTGGCTTTAAGGGGAGTTAATTTTATGTATTCTAACTTAAATTTCATGCACATTTTTTTTAAATTAGGAACACAGGAAAAAAATATATATAATGCATGCAGCAAGACACATGCATTACATTTATTTAGAACACCACATGAAATAGAACATGTACTACAGAAATATTTTCCACTCGCCAGATTAACTGGTAAACGGTCTCAGAATGGCAATGGGTGCCTTACAGCCCATCAAGATGCTAATGTGCATTCGACAAGAGCAAAGTCTCCTTTTGAGGGTAAAGGAAATGCGGAACATAAGTACATGAAAACGTGCAGGCAATCAATTTCACAAACTACTCGTATACATCTTCACACACTTGCAAACACCAGCAATTAAAACAAAATTAACAATAACAAAAAGAAGCAACATTTAAATAAAACAAAACAAAACATTTAGATTAATGATGATAAAAGCTAGATTATATACCTGTCATCACAACACTAACATTAAGATCTGATATGGAACATGGTAGCAGTGTGTTGGTACTATTTAGTGATTTAAATTTTTGTCCTTCCTCTGTTCCTGGAAACAAACCATACATCCATGTGTAGTGACTCATTTTCTCGAGACCCACGGACTGTTAAGGTATGATTTTAACATGCAAGGTATCAGTGTGGGGAGGGGGGCATGTTGGTAGCAGTTTTAATTTACCACTGATCATGCAACAGTCCCCAAATACAATTATTGTGAATTCTATAAAAACTCTGCAGACAAATTTTGGTTGGTAAGACTTTCACTAACAAGAAAGGTTTAAGAATAGCCTTGCAGCCAACACTAGGATACAGTTGAGCAGGTTTGAAGAATGGGTTGGATTGGTTTGTGTGTGAGGGGTAGGGTGAAGGAGGTAAATATTTAGAACACCAAGAATGGTTAAACAGGCCTCTTGTGGTGGTTCCTAATTCTTACGTTCTTGTGCTGCTGCTTCTTTACTACCAACGCTGTCTATTTTGTGTTTTGCTCATTTTTCTCAATGCAAGTAGCTCTTCTACGTCTCTTGCTTTCCCTTAATCATTACTCCAGATTCTATTCATTGCATAGTCCTGTACATATTTAACCTGCCTATCCCCATTGAGATAAATTGTCGATATGGAAATATCCTTGATTGCTACCATGCATTTGAGCTACATCATTCTAGTTAGTTTTTTTTTTAAATTATAGTATTTTTGTTCAATTTTTATAGAGTTTTATATTCCACAGGAATGGAAGGTGCAGAAATCAATAAATCTCTGCTGGCTCTAAAAGAATGTATCCGTGCTCTGGGCCGTAAAGGAGCACATTTACCTTTCCGTGCCTCAAAACTAACTCAAGTGTTGCGAGATTCCTTCATCGGAGACAAGAGCAGGACGTGTATGATTGCAATGATATCTCCAGGAATGTGTTGCTGTGAGCATACTCTAAATACATTGAGGTTAGTTTCATGATTGGGAAAAGAAAGTTTTAGAAGATATGGTAGGTTTTCTTTTACTATGATTTCTGTATGATTTATACCCTAAATTAGCCATTTTGTTTTCTATAGTTTACAAATTGTGTTATTGATATACATTGCTCTGGTAATGTAAGGCTATTGTTATGCATTCAAGAAAATGTGGTTATTCATTAATTACATGGAAAAAATCAGTATGTTAATTCCATGAAGATTGTAATGTAAAGTACTCCATGTAATAAATTATTTCATTAGGTATGCTGATCGTGTAAAAGAATTGGGAATTGGTGACAATGTTGAGGGTGGCTACAAGTCTTCTACTCTCGAAAAGGAACCAGATGAAAATGGCACCGTTGATACAGACTACACGACGCTCTCAAATCTGAATGTAAGTTTGATGCATAAACTGTTTTGGAATTATTGCATATTATAAATTTCCATAATTATAACATTCTTGCCAATTCCGTATATAAAAAATATATTTTTAAATGTATAAAAGTAATATATGAATGTATAGGGTGTATCACCTTCAGTTGTACAGCATTACCAAGGACCTTTGGCCTCGGAGAAAGCTATATGGCACTCGAGGGAGCCTTGTTAGTTTTCCTATTATCAAAAAGAGAAAATGTGAATTGTCTAAATGTGTTGTTGCCTTATTTTGGGCTTTGAAATATGGAAAAGTACTGAAATAAAAGTTTTTTGACTACTTGGATGCAATACTCTCCACTGTTCCCCCTGAATACATAGGGTATTTTTAACCCGATGACCAACTTCCCAAAAGCCTTTGTTGACTAGGGGCAATAACCCATACCTCAACTGACCGACCTAATCCAGATAAGTAAACATCGATGAATGCAAATCATGGTGAATATAGGTTTATATTAAATATGTTCAATAAAGCATTCTGCACACACCATTGTTAATTATGATAATGGTGTCAAATATAGTGGTGAAAAAGTATCTTAGAAAAATTTGTATAATGTAGATGAGCATAGCAAATATAAGTTGGAGCAGCAGCTGGTTTGAGGGGGGGGGGGGGGAACAAATTTTCTTTAATTTTTTAGCAAATTTTTTTTTCTCCATAATTCTCAGGAAAATGAGATGAGTGCAGATCAGCAGGCATTCCAGGTTGCCATGGGTGCTGTCCAAGAAGCAGAGGAGGAAGTTGTTGACCTACATGGTCAATACTTTGCTCACAGAGATAAAATGGACAAGATGCTTATTCCTCTGTACCAGATGACGAATGAAGTAGATTATGATGTAGATGGTGAGTACAGATCATTAAAACATCAATTATCTAAATATGGTAGATTTACCATTTGTACTGGAATACAGTACAAGGAATTTTGTGAACTTTCTGAAATTTAGTATGTAGATGGCTACCATTGCTTAAATTCTGGTATACTTTCAACAAGACAGACAATATTTTCCTAAGATCTGTGGTTTTACTCTGTAAAACTGCTGTCACTGAGGCCAGCTTGACACTTGTGTAGTGTAAAATTCTGGATTTCCTCTTTCAACTACAGTTGCAAGATTAGTCATTCAATAATGATGGACTAGTGACAGATTTACAGGGTGCACACTTGCCCAGACTGTCAAAATGTTTGCCTCTAAAATTAGTAGTAGCTGTAATGTGCTGTAGAGTAAATTTAAATGTGAAATAACATTGTCACAACTTGGAGCTGGTAGATATAGTGTGTTCCATGAAACCTACATTTTTAATATTCTTTGCTGGAATAATACAAATTTCTTTTACTGTAGTGTTTACTAAAATATTGATATTGTTTCAGCTTATGCACAACAGTTGGAAGATGTAGTGTTGGAAAACATGGAGTGGTGGACTCAGTTGCGAGACCGTGTTATCAAACTGAGGCACCAACTGGAGGAGGAAGAACAGCTTTCACGTCGTCAGAATGTATAATTATAATAGAAAAATAATCCATCCACTGGTGCACACACGTACACTGTGCATGAATAATTTAAAAGCATAGTTTTAATTTTTGTTTACATTAATCTGCTCAGTGCAGATACTAAAGATGTAAACCTAAAAATAATGCTTTACTGCATTTTATATTTAGTGTGAGCAGCACACACGAGTTGGTAAAGATGTATATATATAGTCATTAAAAAGTGGCCATTCCCATTTACACCTCAACACAAGCTTTGAAACTATTCACATAGGTCCCCTTTAGGAATGGGAAATACGAACTCCTAAGATCTGTGATTAATGCCTTCCTGTTACAGTATCTTTAAGTGTTTGGCATACTTTAATTTGATCTTGAGAGTGGAGAGCTTTGTACTTCTGTTGGTAACATAATTGCTTTATTATTGCTACTTTTCCTTGGCAGTTAACAATGTCCATGTTAATTACTGATATAGCAATATTTGAAATATAATGCACAATTAAGAAAATTGGGCAGTGATTATTTTAAACATACAACTCGAGTAATATAGGAACTTCTCATGTGGCTTAAAACAAGTCTTGATAAATGTTAGTCAGTTTGAACAAGCATCTTGCATAAACAGTTACTCTTAGTTTTAAAGTTCTGTGTATTGTATAATAAGGTGAGCAGTCTTTATTTTTTTTTTCAAACATATAAAGTATGGCTACAATATTTAGCTTGTATCATCCAACAGTAAGTTTATTTTTCTTAATTATAACACTGGTGTTACATTTCTTATCTCTAAAGGGGAAAGTTGTATTGTGGCTTACAATAGTACTAACATTCGTGATGTCCTCTTTTATTGTGTGCCGTGATAATCCACTATTGTCAATAATTTGCTGTACTATGCGAATCATTTATTATTCAGCAGCCCTCATTGTTCTTGCATCGTGTCTGAACTGGCTCACATTAGTTAGGAAGTTTTTACTTGCTAATGTATGAAAGGAAAATTTATATAATAAACTTTTTAAGGAAGAAAATTTCTCATTACATACAAATGTTACACAGTCCACTCATGTTTCTTGGTCTATTTAGTGCTCGTGTAATAGATTAATTCCTGTCTGTTACACTAAAACTTGCGCCTTGCTAGTGGTAATTGTTTGGTTTTAACCGATTGTGATTATAATATCAAAATGGATGAATACAAAGTGAACAAAGTGTTTGAAATGTGTGAATAGGAGTGTATTGTTGAATGATAAGTGGACCGAGTGTGTGTGTGTTTGGTGTGCATGTGAGGAAGAATATATATTAACAAATTGGTTTTACTGAAAGTTTATTATTTTTATGTATGCATATGAGAGTTTTTGACTTATGCATGATGATATATAAACCTGCTTTAATTTTGTCAATATTATGTAAGGTACATTATAGTTGGGTTGATACCCATTTTCTCAACCTAGTCGATTGCTGAAGTGGTTCAGAGAGATTAAGAGGATAAGAACTTTAATATTTTATCATGTACCTCTCATACACATAAATGCTTAAGAATAAACCTGGTCAGATAAATGCCACAAGTAAATGTAATTTATATAAAATAATCTACTTTCATGAGGTTCTTTAAGGGTACTACAAATAATTCATTTATAAAAAGGCTCACCTTGATACATTGACCAAGCTTTGCAATGCTGTGTTAAACGTTACCGCTCTGCAGTTACAATTATATGATGCTTGTTCATGAACTTGGCGTAAAGTACTGTACTAAGCTGGTTTACCATAATTTTAAGTAGGCTTATATTGTGATATTTATTATAAAATAATGCCGTAAAAAATAAGCAGAATGGTGTATCTTGGAGATTTGTGATCTTGTATTTTATATTTATGTAAAGGTAAGAGATCCAGTAACCATGACCACAAGAACATTATGCTACTCTTAACCATTCAATGAGCAGCTTTTCCTCATCAGAACATTGCTACCTTGATCCGTTATCTTTGTCGATAAGGGATGCAGGGTACAGTTTTCTGGCATTATTATTTTTTTCCATTCTGAAATGATAGTTGCATTACTGACCCTGCAACATCTACTAATGTGTTATTCCTCTCGTTTTTAAAATTGACTTAAAAACATGAGCTGATGCATAAGTGATGCAAGGGCTTATGAAACATTCATATCAAGGATACTACTGTATATATTGGTAAGTTACCTAAATCGATTGTACTCGTCATATAAACAAAAATGTGAAAACCTGGAGAATCATTTTGGAAATGTGTGAATGGTGTTCTTTGCAAAAGTAACATTCCATATTCTTTTGAAGACTAATGTATATGGATTTGTGAAGTTCTACTTTGATATCACTCAGAATTTAGATTTGTCTCCCTTTAAATAATAATAATCCTTCCATTACCCCTAAAAACATTTGGCATCAGATATCCAAAAGTTAATTGTGAAGTCAAGAGGAAAATGTCATAGCATTGGTTCATTTAGTGGATAAATTGGTCAGTTTTTTCTATGCTCTGTATCAGAGCTGTTTTGGCCCAGTTAACCAGTGTAGAAAGGCAGCCAGTCACTGTGTCCATGAACTGCTTGTATTCCTGTTACTAGTTGTCTTCACTAGCAGCTTCACTCAAGTGTTTGGGTTCAGTGTTCATCTTCTGCCTTATGCATGACCTAGTGTTTTCAGAAAATAGTTCTGGAAACCCTCATACCCACATCCACAAGTTTGTATATAAGTAGGCTGTAAAAAGTGGATTAAAATTAATTTTAGCAATCTTCAAGTTTTCATCTTTATTTGAAAACCTGCAGGGAACATGGCTCTTCTCTTCAGCAACTCATAATATTGAACATGTCATATCATACATATCTGTTATCATCCTTCCCATATGCTTTCCACCTATGTATCGTCTTTTGATTTGAAGTTGTCAGCACAAACTTGCACTTCTGTAATATAAATGACCTAATTCTAGTTGACAAAACCATTAAAAGAATAGAAGTACACTATAATAATTTAACAAAGATTCTCAAATTGTAATTTTCATAACTACCTGCTTGATGGTGCTTTTGAAGTGGTGGCAGGCCAACTGATGTATTTTTTAATCCGTGAATTAACCTCGTAAGAAGTGACTGTTTGTGTTGATTAAACAAAATTACTGCTTCTAAGTTTGAAAGCAATCTCTGGCTATTTTTTCAGGTTACAAAATTTGTATCATCCTTGTTCTCAGAAGATTATTTTTAATGCCTTACTGTATTGTAAAAAAAATATTTAATGTAGAACACAGCAGAGTAACATGAACTTGTGAATGTTAATGTTGCCGTTTATGAAGTTCTCTTTTTAACACATCAATAAAAAGCACAAATTAATGTAACATTGTATTTTTCATCTTTGTTGGAGACTGTTGAATAACACCAGGTAATTTGATCTGGAAAAAGAATTGGTTAACAAGTAGGATAATTTTTATCTAACTAATAACTGTTATTGTGTATCGTAATTTAAATTCAGGCATTATGGTAATTTAGACATGTATTCTTAGATTTCAGAACCATGTTATCTTGATGACACAGCACTGCTGCTAAACAAGTAAGTAATTATCAAAAGAAGGCACCAAACCGGGAAGGTTATGTAGCACCATCAAATGCGCAAAATAATCAGAGGGCGCTAAATATCACCAAGGATGCCAATACGAGAACAAAAACGCATAAGGCGAACGATATCAAAAGTATCCGAGTCGCCAAGAATTCTATTGAGGGACAGGTGACCGCGAGGGGCGGTCGGAAAGCAAGACACACGCTCGTCCTGGAAGTCAGGACATGCACGACCGTATGCTGCTAAACAAGCCATTTGTACTCTCTCAAAAGCTAATTCATTACTTTGATTTGCCAGTTGTCATAAAATTGGGAGCCATTGAGACAACAGATGCTTAGCTACTAAAAATAATTTACATTTCTACCCCTACACAGTTACTCTTATAAATTGTATTATCCCAAAGTCATGCAATGTCAGCATCCTGATTTTCAGGGTGATTGTAACTTGCTATCCAATGTCCCATATTTGCTTGTTCCTCAAAAAAGTCTGAATTGGATGCCTTGGACTTTGCTAGTCTTTCACGCCTTCCCAGTGAGTGGTTCCTTGATGTGGTGAGGGGGGGGGGGGTTCTTGTGCTCTGCCCATGGTAAACGAAAGGGAAGATGTGTGGGCTGGCTCCTGCTCCCCCTCTTCTACTTCTGTAGCAGTATGCAAGCGAATGGCCATCTGTGTGTTTCCGTTCTTCATTTGGTTAAGCTTTCCCAGCAGCTCCAGTGTTGGGGGTAGGGAAAGGAAGGGGGGGGGGGGTTTGTGGTCTACCTGAATCAATCTGCTTGTCTAATTAGACTAGATCAAGTGGGCATTGTAGGGTTGGTATCCCTATCAGTCCCTGGTATACCATTCAGACCATTTAATGGTTACCTGTTGTGTACTGTTCGTTACCCCTGAGGATGCTTGTCCCATGTGCTAGTACTTTCCATGGTGGACTTCCATACCTGGCACCCCCCACCCACATTGAAATAAATTTATAATTATGACTGCATTTCTCTTCACTCATGGGGTAGGCTGTTTACAGAGTTGGACTGTAATGGAAGATTGGGCACCATAGTTCTGGCTGTTGTGGACCCAGACCAGGGTTTGTCAATGGTTACCCCTTTTGATCCTCACACTTTCCCAGCCTCTTGCTTGGCAGGGTTGACCGTAAGTCTCTAATGATGACTGCCACACTACCTGGAGTGACACCCTAGTTACTAAATCGCATTTCTCTCCTTCCAAGAGGCCCGAGGTGATGTCCTCATCACTGAGCCTGTACATTTTCAGCAACAGCTGCTACATTCCAGGATTTGTTTGGTCCTGGTATGTGGTCTAAATATTTTGATGTTTACCTTTGTGACTTGCATGCATGCACACACAACCCCCCTTTTCTCCCTCTCACAGAAGCTGGATGTTAGTTCAGTTTACTCTCGCCCAGATAGACACCCTCTTCGAGGCTCTGGTGTGGTTCTTGGAAAACACCTTCCCCCTCTCCTCATTTTGCTTTTGCAAGTTTCGTAGCACGAGATGTTTTAGTAGACTTGGTACAACATGTCTCCTGTTGCCATGTCTCCTGTGTCTTCTTTCCCTTCTTCCCCTGATCCTTCTTCCCAACCCTCCCCACAGTCTCTTAGCCCTCCTTGCCATCTGTCTGTCCAGGCTGATGTCCATCATCCTCCCAGCAATCTCCATGTTGTTCACTCCCGTTCTTATTCTCCTGATGAGACCATCGAGTCTGTCTCCCAGTACATTGTTGGAACACCTGTCTGAGTCAGAAGCCTGGCTCCTCTCCTTCCTCCTCCCCAGCAGGTAAGAAGGCATCACGTTCTTCCTCACCCCCCCCACCTCTGACTTTATCGCTACATCCCCCCCCCCATTTCGGTAGTTGGGCACCCCCTGTCCCAGTGGCGAGAAGTAATCCTGACGTGCATGCAGAACTTACCAGCAGGGGCAAGTAACTATCAAAGGAACCAAGCCGGGAAGAGAACACGGCACTGTTTCTCTGGATATTCAAAAGGAACGATGCCACTATAGGGACATAGCTGTTCGTTGCATAAAGAACAAAAGATTATCTGTGAATACATCGCTTACACAGACTGGAAATCCGGCCCAAGGCAACCGCAAGAAACAGACTAGTACCAGAACAGATTTATGACTTAGGAGGAAAGGCTACGGGAACTAAATGACACGTCCCTGGAAGACGGAAGAAACATGCTCACCTTCAAAATTCAAAGAAATTGACCGTGGACAAAACTATGAAGCATGGATGGAACACGAACAAGGGGACAGGTGGATACCGAGGGCCCAAATAAGGGAATTATCAGGGAAAAGTGCAAAGCCATTAGCCTATATATCACTTGGAAGGAATCAGAATTTGGGATGGGACCGGGGAAAAGAATGATGGACAACCACTTTGATGGTCGGGGATCGAACATCGACCTGCATAATGCGAGACCGTTGCTATACCGTCCAGCCCAAGTGGTTGGGGGAGCCACAGATATTTTAGAGATTTTTCAGTGTCGGTAGTTAAGATGGAATGCATTAGGCAGTGATGTGGAGGAGGCAGACTCCATAAAATGTTTCAAATGTAGATGTGATAGAGCCCAATAGGCTCTAAAATCTGTACACCAGTCGATTGACAGTAGAGAGGCGGGACCAAAGAGCCAAAGCTCAACCTCCGCAAGCACAGCTAGGCGAGTACACAATCCTGAGGGTGATATGAGTACCCACAGAATAGGTCCTGTGGAACACACACACACCTTCCCATCTCTCCAGAACCACAACCAAGTACTGTATTTAACCAGGCCAGTTCAGTTCAATGTAATTACTGTATAACTGGAAACAGCCTCTGCAGGTCAGCTTCCGGTTTCTCTGCAGACCTGTACAACCTCTTGGTTACAGTTTGCCTACTTGTGGCGCTAATGGGTGGTTTTATAGCCCCTTTTTGAAAGTTTATAAGACTAGGTTAACACTAAAGTAGGGTTGTCCTATCGAGGTAGTAGACACTTTGTACTGTCAAGTCTTGCCAAGAGTTAACCAAGAGTGCTTACCACCCATAATGTCAAGCTTCAGTGGCAAAAAGTAAAAATATGCAAATAAAATAAAATAAAAAAAGCCCGACAGACAGAATGCCCATCATTCACTCACTAAAAACTAAAGCTGGGAACATTAATGAAATACCATCTGTGGTATACAAGAGTGCCTCCCATGCCCTTGTGCCACCCATAGCTCTGCTGTCCAACAGATCTCTAAAGTGTCATACCTTCCCTGATATCCTTAAAAAAGCACGAGTAATGCCAGTTCATAAATGAGGCAATCTGGCAAACATAAATAATTACACACCTATATTAAATATACTGTACCTATATTATCAAAAAATATTTGAAAACATTATTTACAAACAGCTCTACTCCTACCTCGTAAAATTCAACATACTAAGTCCCTGTCAGTTCGACTTCCACTCTCAAAAGAGTACCAACAATGCAACTATTAGTCTGCTAGATATAATTTACTCAGCCCTTGACAAAAATGAGTTTCTGATTGGATTCTTCAGTGACCTGAGAAAGGCCCTTGATACTGTTAACCATAACTACTGTACCTCTTACTTAAATTCTACCATTATGGAATCCGAGACCTTGCCCTGAACTATATCCGATCTAATCTTAGTGACATACACCAATATGTAGCCATAAATGATATAATTTCTCCCTTCTACTATTAACCGTAGGAGTGCCACAGGGCAGCATCCTAGGACCTCTCCTATTTCGTATACACATCAATGATCTACGTAATGTGTCTAACATTCTTAAACCTATATTATTTGCTGACGATACTACCCTCATCTACTCAGACCCCAACTCATACACATTAAATAATGTTATAAATAATGAATTAAAAAAAAGACTACTTATGGATGTCAACCAACAAACTCACACTAAATAATAGAACCCATAATCACCACACCAGAAATAAATCTCTTTGATATCCCCAGAGTCAAACTTTAATCTTTGTAAACACTATGCAAATAAAGGGACCCAGTCTATGGAACTCACTCTCTAAGAAATTGAGAAGCTGTCCAACTTTTGTCTTATTCAAAAATATAACCAAAAAGTATCTAATTTCATCTACATAGTTTCCTACCTAGTGCTTTAAACTCGCACTGTATCTAGTGCTACCCAATTCCCCAGTACAGGTACCTAAGCCATTCAACTTTACCACTGCAATCATTGCTATCACCTTATATCAAGGTTGTTATATTGAATGCATATTTTACTGCATTAAACTTTGAAATACTCCTCAAATTATGCTACAATATACCTGCTGATAACCCTCAAATTTTTCTTTAATGTACTTACTAATCTTTGAAAAATTTTCTTTCAATGTACCTGTAAACATTTTTTTTTAATTTTGTTAGAATTTACCTACTTAAAATTATCTGTTAGATTAACTTAGGACCTGGCTGAAATGCTATGCATGCTAGTGGCTTTATAAGAATGTAAAAACATCAATGCTATTTACTGTACTCTCATAAACCCAATGTCTGTGGGTAAGGAGACACTAAACCTTCTGGTATATAAATAAATAAAATAAAAGATAGAAAATTTTCACCTGAGGACCACATTAAGAACATTGTGCGAGGAGCTATGCTACACTTTCTAATTTCAGAATTGCTTTTAAATACATGGATGGTCAAATACTAAAGAAATTGTTCACTACTTTTGTTAGACCAAAGTTGGAATATGCAGCGGTTGTATGGTGCCCATATCTAAAGAAGCACATCAACAAACTGGAAAAGGTGAAAAGACATGCAACTAAATGGCTCCCAGAACTGAAAGACAAGAGCTACGAGGAGAGGTTAGAGGAATTAAATATGCCAAAATTAGAAGAATGAAGAAAAAGAGGCGTTATGATCACTATGTATAAAATAGTAACGGGAATTAATGAAATTGATAGGGAAGAATTCCTGAGACTTGGAACTTTAGGAACAAGAGGTCATAGATATAAACTAATTAAGCAAAGCTGCCGAAGAAATATAAAAAAATTCCCTTTCGCAAACAAGAGTGGTAGACGGTTGAAAGAAGTTAGGTGAGAAGGTGGTGGAGGCCAAAACCGTCAGTATTTTCAAATAAATAAATAAATTTTTATTCAGGTAAGGTACATACATACAAGGTAAGATACAAAGTTGATGGATTTATAGATAGAGCTAGTACATACAATGCCTAAAGCCACTATTACACAAAGCGTATCGGGCAGGAAAAACATTAAAGACTAAAACTTAATACTAATTGAGTTTAAAGTAAAAATTGCGTTGAGAACAAATAAAAATAAAAATAAAAATAAGAAAGGGGGGAACATGGCTGAAAAAGCAGCACAAATACAATTAGGTCGACAAACAACGTTGTTTAAAAAAAACAGACATGGGTTGACAATAGAGGGGTAAGGTAGGTTACAGGGAATTTATTAGGTAGTGCTTTGTTTTTATCTTAAACTGGTTGAGAGAGGTACAGTCTTTAACATGGTTGGGAAGGTCATTCCACATTCTGGGTCCCTTGATTTGTAGAGCATTTCTAGCTTGATTAAGTCGTACTCTTGGAATATCAAAACTGTATTTGTTTCTGGTGTGATGCTCATGGGTTCTGTTACAACCTTCAATGAAGCTTTTGAGGTTAGGATTGGCATTACAGTTCAGCGTTTTATATATGTATAATACACATGAGAGAATGTGCAGTGGCTTAATATCTAGCATATTCAGAGATTTGAGTAGGGGTACCGAGTGATGTCTGGGGCCAGAGTTGGATATTGTCCTAATAGCAGCTTTGTGTTGAGTAATTAGAGGACGTAAATGATTTTGGGTAGTAGAACCCCAAGCACAAATACCATAGTTGAGATATGGATAGATGAGATATGGATAGATGAGGGAGTAATAGAGTGTCACCAGGGCAGGGCGGGGTACATAATATCTGATCTTAGAAAGAATGCCAACAGTTTTTGAAACTTTTTTTGATATATTTAGAATGTGTCCTTGGAAATTCAGCTTGTGGTCAATGAGAACGCCAAGGAATTTGCCATCTAATTTGTTACAAATTTGGGTATTGTTTATTCTGAGATTTATTTGATTAGAGGATTTATTGCCAAACAGAATATAGAAAGTTTTGTCAATGTTAAGGGTGAGTTTGTTGGCAGTTAGCCAAAGATGGACTTTATTTAGCTCAGTATTTACTGTGGCATTTAGAACAAGGGGGTCAGGACTGGAGTAAATGAAGATTGTGTCGTCAGCAAACCGAATTGGTTTGAGGTGTTGGGAGGCATTTGGAAGGTCATTAATGTAGATGAGAAAGAGGAGAGGGCCAAGTATGCTGCCCTGAGGAGCACCAATGTTGATGGGTAGGGTGGGAGAAATTGAATTATTCACAGAAACATACTGGAGCCTGTCAGTAAGGTAAGATTTGAGGTATTGCAGGGAGTGTCCTCTGACTCCACAATGATATAATTTAAGAAGAAGGTTTTGGTGGTTGACAGTGTCAAAAGCCTTACGCAGGTTCACAAATAACCCAACAGGGAACTCATTTTTATCAAGAGTTGCATGAATCAAGTTAATCATACTAATAAGTGCATCGTTAGTGCTTTTTTTGGGTCTGAAGCCATATTGACAAGAGCTAAGTATATTGTGTTTGGCTAGATAAGAGTAAAGCTGCTTGTAGATTAGTTTTTCAAATATTTTTGACAAGTTAGGCAGGATTGATATGGGTCTGTAGTTGTTAACATCTGTGAGATCACCACATTTGTGGACAGGGGTTACTCTCGCTTTTTTTAGAATATCTGGAAAGGTTTGGAGTTCAAGTGACTTGTTGAAGAGCAAAGCAATAGCAGGGGCTAAAGATCTGGAGGCTTTTTTGTAAATTAAAGTTGGTATCTCCTCAAGGGCACTAGACTTGGTTTTAAGGGAAAGGATTATCTCATTAACATCAGTGGAATTAGTAGGCTTTAGGTAGAGAGACTGTGGATAGTTACCTGTAAGATAGTCATTAACATCAGTACTGGAAGATGGAATATCATTTGCAAGGGATGACCCAATGGAAGAGAAGAACCTTTTAAACTCAATAGCAGAATCAGAGGCTGAAAGCTGACCATCGTTATTGGACAGGAGTGTTGGTTTGTTATTTAAAATCTTCTTTGATCCCAATATTTGTGAAATTGTGCTCCAAGTTTTTTTTAATGTTGCTCTTTATTTGGGTAGATTTATCTTCGTAGTATTTAGTTTTGGCTCGTCTAATTATTTTAGATAGCAATAACGAGTAGGGTTATATGACAAAGAGTGCTGGGAAAACGGGACACCACAAGTGTAGCTCTCATCCTGCAGCTACACTTCGGTAATTACATCCCAAACAATCAACATATTACGGAACATTCTGAGTGATAAACATACACATTTCCGGGTTGAGGCCACTAGAGTGTAGTGGCCCTAAGGTAAAAAAGATAGACCCAGGCAATGTTTATGTTGTGGATGGGTTCCCTATAGTTTCTTCAGGCCATAGACCCTACAATCTCCTCAGGCCACAAATGTTAGTCTCTTCAGGCCACGGACATGACAGATGAGCAATGTTTACCTTACCTTGAACTTGACTTGTATGGGTCGCTTACCTTCCTACAGCCATACACTACAGGGGCGTGAAAGAAAACGGTGAAGGCCGTTGATTATCTCTGCTCATATTATTAAGCTATGAAATATTAAAGGTATTTTGCTTCCCAAAAGACATTATTATTCAAATGAGGATGACTATCCTCAGCTTAAGAGCCAGTGGACGGTGTGCAGCATGACCAGTGAACGAGACATTGAGATTCGAATTGGCGGTGACGGCGGCGGCCAGCTTGGTGTGGTGTGGCACTCTGTCCTTTCACGGCGTCATGCAGGATAAGCTGGGCCAGCGAGTGAAGCAACTCATAGACTCCGAGGAATGGAAAGAACTTGAGGATTTAATTCTGAACACGGAAGACGAGTGGGTGCTGGAGGTATGTTCTGTCAGCTGTCTTAAGTGATATTCTGTTAGCACATTTTAAGAGGGCTCCTTAACTCCGGTCTGCTCCTGCTGCCCACACAGGTTGATTCTTGTTCAACCTGCACGTGTTTCATCCATCATACTCCTGCACAATACGTTTCATCCCTCATACTCCTGCACAATACGTGTTTCATCCATCATACTCCTGCACAATATGTGTTTCATCCCTCATACTCCTGCACAATACGTGTTTCATCCATCATACTCCTCCACAATACGTGTTTCATCCCTCATACTCCTCCACAATACGTGTTTCATCCCTCATACTCCTGCACAATACGTGTTTCATCCATCATACTCCTGCACAATATGTTTCATCCATCATACTCCTGCACAATACATGTTTCATCCCTCATACTCCTCCACAATACGTATTTCGTCCCTCATACTCCTCCACAATACGTGTTTCATCCCTCATACTCCTGCACAATACGTGTTTCATCCCTCATACTCCTCCACAATACGTGTTTTATTCCTCATACTCCTCATAAATACAGGTAACTAATAGGTTAAATGAAATTGGGAATTAAATCCCCAGATTAGGTCATTAGACAGTTAATCATTTAAATCCCCACCAGTAAATGTAGTACCTGGTATGTAAGGTAGAGCACCAGCTCTAGTAAAATTTCATTTTAGGGAATCCATCAAATAATATATGACTGCAAAATTGTTTATTAAGATATATTTCCTCAGCGTCATGTTAATTTATTTCAGATTCTTGGGCGCAGAATTCATAGTACAGAAGGTGCCCAATGGGTGGGAGGTATTCTTTCTGCTCTCTCGTGTGATACCAGAGAAAGTACTGCTCTTAGACTAAAGGTATTATAACACAGAATTTAATATCATGGAAGAATGTGGATTGTAAGTCAATAAACTTAAAATTTAAAGAGAATACAGTAACTTAGTGCTTAGCTAAGTTAAATGAATGGAAGATGGCAGACTGGCAAAAAAGATAGTATTGAATTGAAATATGAGGGAAGGAGGAGGAGGAGGGCAACATTGGTATAAAAGTCATTTTCATCTCTTTTTTTTTTTTTTCAGGTTTATGATAATGTGTTGAAACAAGTACGAAATGAATCGAGCGGAAATGACAAGACTGCAGGAGAGCTAATAGGGGTGTTAATGGTGCATGTAGACACTTTCCCAACTAATGCTATTGTTTCACTAATTAGTGAATATGTGGAATACATTGAGAGTGGAGCACCTCTCCAGGGAAGGTTTGTGTTATATAAGTATTAACTGAAAAAATTAAGAATAAGAAAGTATATTGCTGGCCCATGTTTTGTCAGTTAACCTTAAAATATGTAGAATTTTTGTTGGGGGAATTAAGGGGGATCATCCCCCTTAAAACTTAACCCACAAAATACAGAGTGGGTTAAGTTTTTGAAGTAACAGTGCCCATTAATGAAGGGTTATTCACCTAAGTCTAACTGGAAAGCTTGAAATGTTATATTTCTATGTTCAGTACAGTACTGACATGTTTCTTCTAAGCATTTTTTCTAAATTGTAAATGAATACTAGTACAGAATATATTACAGTACTAGTATGATTCTTATGTTTATGTATTGCTAACAGGTGGGTAGACTTGTTAGCAAAACTAATTACTAGTGTGAGCCAGAAGGAGGAAGTAAGCATTGGGGGCAAACAAATGGCGGGTGATGACTACCGTTACCAAGTTCTCAAAACACTCTGTGACCTCTCATGGAGTGCTGAAACCACAACCAGCCTTCTACCAGTCTTCAAGTATGTATTATTATTAGTTACCCCTGTTGTGGGGATTTCTTTTGTTGTTTACTACTGTTCATTTTATATTTCCTAATATTATTGAATGTGAATCCTTGTCATACAGATTGCTGTTTTATTACATTCAACGCTGGTTTTTTCTAATTACTTTACTATAAAGTAGTGCAATGGTCAACTCAGTCGGTTCGCATCCAAAAGGTTCACTGCAGGGTTTAAACCTTCTGTGCTCATTATACCACTGTTGCACGAGATATACTTGCCTGGGGGCTACCTCTAGATTATCTACTGTATTTGGCAAATTTGTTTACTAGTCTGCACCTAAGGGCTTATTGAAATATGTGGGCTTATTGAAAGCTATGAAATTAACTTTAATAGTTTTATAAAAATAGAAAAAATGAAAAATAAATAAAAAAGACCCCATTTCTGTAAACTAGGGCAGCATACATGCTTGCTTCTTGTCCTATACTTCTTTCAGTACCAAATATTTTCCCTCTTACAACTTTAGTTACTTTGCAATCCCTTTAACCCCTGCACTGCACACCTGTTCTTGGCAAAAACTTCATAGTGCAATTGTTAAGGACATACAGTATTTTATGTTGTTCAGGTAAAGTTAACGTCAAAATGTTTCCAAACCCAACTATTTTCATTTCAAAACACAAAGAATGATGAAAACATTAAAAAACATTAAAATATAGCCTAACTAGAAAAAAACGGACAACTCTCAAAAAACATTTGTCGTTTGGTGCAATGCAGTGGTTATATATACAGATTTCCAGTTGTATTAATCTTCTGCCTGTAAAATTTTTAGAGATATGGAACTGCCAAAGGAGGAGCTACAAGATGTTATTTTCAAAGTGGAAAGAGTGTTGAAGGTCGTAGACTATCAGTCAGTGCCACCGATTATATATCACCTGATTCTGTTAGTACGGAGTAAACTTCCTGGCCGCGTGTTGCAGGTTATTATTGATTACTTTAATACTCAAGAACATAAATTATCTCGGAAGGAGAACAAGAGAAATGATGAAATAAATAGCATGGATGCTGATTCAGAAGCAATAGGTAAGTCAACCAGCATTTTGGCCTTTCTATATTAATAATACCATTGGTATTACTACTGTATTATAGGTTGTATAATACCATTGTATTGTATAATACAACCTATAATACCACTGATATTATAGGTTGTAAGTCTGAACTTTCAACCAGGAAAAAGGGGGTAGTAAATTGGTATGTATGAATGTTATTTCTTTGGTTAGCCAAATATATAATTGTTTTTCTTTGTCAAATTAATATTATAATTATTATTTCTATTTAGAATATTTTGTTATATAAATTTGTTATGTTTATTGTTATCAGTTTAACAAAGATGCAAAAACTCAAGGTATTTGATTTTGTTGCCATGATTAGTACAGATGTATTTGTGTTTTTTGTGACGACATCAAATAAAAATGTATGTACAGTACTTTTATGTTTGGTTATCAATAGTATTACTAAGTTGTCCAAGACTTAACCTTTAGGCTCCTGAAGAAAATTTCACTTGTAATGAATTAAATGAGAGTCTTTCTATATACATGGAATAGCCATTTATATACAGTATATTTTTTCCTTACAGAGGACAGCAAGTATAGTGATCTTACTGAAGCAAAAGGCACTGTCATACTTCATGTGACACATCATGCCCAGTATAATCCAGCTCTTGTTCGTGATTATCTCAAGTTTATTAAATCTTCAACCTGGCTTCCTGAGAGGGTGATTACGCCCTTCAACTTGGCACTATCTCTGTCCTTGGCATCCATTGAAAAATACCAGGATCAGGTTTGTTGTCATGTTCATTATAACACTTTAGTATGGTCCTCGTGAATGTTGGGCAAAATGGCACTTAACCACAATTAGAAAAAATTGAGGCAAGATTATACTAGTGTAATCACTGTATTGTATTTTTTGCGGAGTAAACTGTAACATACAGACTCCTCCTCTTGACTAATACTTCATCAGTGTGATGACTTTCTAACCCCATGGTTGTTGTCATAAATATAGTAGTGCCTTCTGTATACACACATCACCACACGTGGTGTAAGTGTGAGTGATCAGGGCATGTAGACGAGCACTTGGGTAACAAAACAGATAAAAGGATAGCATAATGGGTTACATATGAAAGTGACAATTAGGCATAATGTGTTACTGTATTCCTAGATAATCATGTAGTTTAGCACATGGAAGCCATCCAGTATTCTTAATTCTCAAAGTATAAGGCACTAACTACTTCACCTCCATGAAACCTAAAGGATATTCAAAATCTTATGAAATGTCAGGTGCTGTACTGCTTGTCTTTTTTTCTAGTTGTTTAGAGTGATATGGTTAGTCGGAAGATTCAGCTTATATGGTGATGAATGTTTGTCTGACTTAATTATTAGAGTACTTTTACAACACATAATAGATTTCCTTGCACTGTAGAAAAGACTAATAGTTATTGGAACTTTCAGATCCTAGAATCACTCAAATCTTGCCTGCTTAAGAGTTTTCGCCAGGAAGAGCGTAGTTTACAATCGCAGTGGCTTCGGGAAACTTGGGGAGAAGATTGTGATGTCACTGCTGCATTTAGAACTACTGTCGATAATTGCATTATGGGCTGGGATCAGGTGAGAAAAGAAAATGTTTACTGTAATAAATTTCTTCCCTCTATTACACTTTCTTTGTTCTGGATTTGTTCTTTTACTTGTACTAGCATTATATTTTTCTCTTTTCCTCTTTAACCCTTTTACAGTACAGGCTGTTTCAATGCATTGTCTGTTGTGTACAAGAACAAATTTTCTGATTATTTTTTTATTTTAACGTTGTTAATGAGCATTCAGGAAGCATGAAAATCCATGTAAAATGTCTGCCTTTTGTAGTTTAGCTGCAGTGGCCTGGAGAGGTTTTATTTTTTCAGTAGAAATAAGGTGAGGTGCCATGTGGCGCCACATGCCTTTGTAACTCATTGGTGCATATGCGCTGGTACCGATAAGCCTATGATCATGCAATGCCTCTTAAGATCCACACTTAACTATTGAGAGCCAAGACCAAAATCTAGCTCTCTACACTGTAGGGGTAGGATCAGAGATCAACCCAAAACTGAGGAAATGAACCAGAAAAATTAGACAAAAGAAAACAAATTACCACATGAAAGGAGGAATGAAAATTTCACAAATAGATTCTGGCTCTCAGTAGGTTTGCATGAATCTCAGAGGTCATGGTACAATCCTTAGACTTAGTGGAAGACTTACCAAAAAATAAGACATTTTGTAATATTCAATGTTTCATTATTATTTTGTGTATTACCAGAATTCATTTTGTGATACAGTATATACTTGTAGAGAACAAATAAATTGGTGCAGACTTGTATTGTCTCAAACCATATTACTCATAATCTCAAGTTATTTATTGCAATTTTGTTTTTAAATTTTGCAGGTAAGTCAGGGATTAGTTCACCTTGCATTCAGTTTACTTGAATCAGGATCTGGTCCAAAGGGAGAGACTTATGTAAGTCAGCAAGCTGTTGAGTTGGCTTCCATTGTGCTCCCTCTCATCGTCAGGAAACAGCCACATCTTGCACGATCAGTCATCTCTCAACTCTCAAATTTAATCCTGTCAGCATCCTCACCGATTCAGTACATTGGTAAGTCAGTGACTGGTTTATTTAATTGAATGGCATTTAGTATAGTATTTTATCTTTTTGTCACCCTACTTGATAATGATGGGTTTTTGGTTGTGCATTTTTATTATAAAGTTAGAGTAGTTGGGGATTTTCATTGGTGTTTCTCTAGTATACTAAGAAATATTTTGACTAGCTTTGTTTTATATCTTTTGTTTTATATCTACAGTATGCCTATGCTATTTTCAGAAATCCTTGGAAAGCTGGCAAAGTCATTACCTCTTGTTCTTCTTGACCATCTTAATGTGATTCGGGAGCCACTAGAGTACTCGGAATTTCTTTCAATTGGAGCTGCAACTCACTTCTTGCATGCACTTCTCCCACTCCTCAAGATGAGCATGACTCTCAAGGACACTCTTATGATTACACTGAGGAAGATGCTCTTTTCTAAGTAAGTAAAATTTTTTAGGTTTTTATATGGATTTTTATTGTACCATACAGTGCACCCCAAAATCTGGAACCCTCCAGGAACAAAGGCCTTATAAAAAATAAGCCTAATTGGCTTCCAGTTTCTGCCATTCGTGTACTATACTATTCTAATCACATGCTGTACACTTTGTATTTAGAATTGTAATAAAAAAAATTCTCCGTGCTTCTTTATTTTTTCAGGAAAGTTGAGAGCCGCCAGATTGCAGTGAAAGGATTCCTGCAATTTCTTAGACATTTCCGAGTGATGGGTGCACTTCCTTCGTCCCAAGCCTCCATGTCTTTCTCTTCTTCAATGAGTACAGTTAGCATAAATGCTGATGTTCATTCAATTTTCAACAGTTCTACAAATGAAGCTCTTTGCTTAGAATTGCTTGGAGTATTACGAAGATGTTTTTCACAGCAGCATGAGGTACTTTCGTGTTTGTTTTGTAAAATTTTGAGAGGGATGAACTAATACTGCTCTGATTTTATACATCTATGTCACGTAAATAATTTGATAAAAAAAAATTAATGGAATACAGAGGTGTTAAATACTGCAAAAATATTCTTATTAATATTAAACATCTTGAAGACAGATAATGGAAACAATATAGAAGAAATATTTTTGCAAGAGGTAAAATATAACCATTTACTTACTATATATAACATCTGTAGAAATAAATAAGGAAAAGGACTGGCACAGGTCTTGTTATGGCAGAGATGCACACAGCATAGGCTTCATTTTGCTTCCAAATGTACAGATAATGGAGCATGCTGCACTCTGCTACTTAGCTCAGTGTCTATTTTGATATTGTTTATACAAGAAAATTTACATTTGCAGGTGAAGTCTACGTTCTACTTGGGACTTTATGATGTCAGCAGAACTAACCCAAAGCTAGTTGTGAACATCCTTGAACTACTAATACAGCATAGCAAGTGCTTCTTGGATTTAAGAGCAGACATCTTTAATCCCATCATCTTGAAGAAAGCTATTGTTGTTCAGGGTGAAACAGTGAAACTCATAGAACCCATGGCAGATTTGCTGTCTAGCTTAGCAGCATGCAAAAACTACTATGAAGAGCACAGAGCCAATGACACTAGTGAAAATGATGATGATGATAATGCTATAACAGTTCTAAATGAAATATGCTCTATGTTTGATATCTTGACAGAGAAGCTTTCTGGCTCTGGCTTGGAAGATCTTGGTATTGATGCCAATGGTGATTTTTCAACTAGTTCGTCATGTGGACAGAAAAATATTCTTTCTGCAAAAGTGATGATTGGTGTATTTGATAGCTTGATAGAACATGCTTTTACCAGTACATCACAGACCACTCATCAGAAAATGCAGACAGTTCTTTCCCTTTTCAAGTCTCAGAGAAAGGTTGTAGATCTGTTGAAGGAAAAGAGTGGGAAACCTGGCAAGAAAGATGGGTCAAAAGGCAAAGGTCGAACTCCTACTAAACCTTCAGTTTCTATAAAGAGTCACTTGAGCTTGCGAGCTACAGCAGATATGCTTGTTGCTTCACTGAATGACACTAACACTGATGACTCTGAGAGCAGCAACATTTTGAAAGACAACCATGAATTACAGTTATACCTATTATCTGTTGTGGAGGAGGTGTTGTCATCAATAAAGGGAATGACTCAGTCAGACAGAGACAAAATTTTACCCCAGCTGAGGACTGTTGCAAAAGTTCTGCTTCATGAATGTAAAAATAACATAGGGACTGCAGATTCCTCAGATGATAGACAGGTGTTGAGACTGAGGCAGTGTTTACTGATTCTAGCATCTATTTTTACCATCTTTAATAAATTCTACAAACCTAAACTAGAATCAATATTAAAGGAAATGATGGGTAAAAATGATAACAACAGTGTTGATTCCCTTTTGTACAAAATAACTAAACGACTTCAGAAAATGCTATTAAAAATCCTACACCATGATGAGAGAGATCCTTTGCTGAAAGATGCAACCACAATTGTCCACATAATGACAACAGTTACTCAAGCAATGGATCCTAAATGTCCTGAAATTATAGAGATCCAAGACTGGATACTTCAGTTATGCAAAGACCAAGATTTTGGTCATTGTGGGTTGGCTGAATCTATGATGAATCTTCTAATAAGACTCTCTAACCAAATTAAATCCAACCATAATCTTACTCGTGGAATAGCTAGGGAATTGCACCACAAGCTTGGAGATTTTGAACAAGGTGTTGAAATTGAAGAATCTGATAAGTATAAGATGGTCACTGAAGAGACGTCATCAGCCATCTTGATAAATCTCCTCGTACACCTCGATGACACATTGGGTCTTGTAGAACTTGTTCTCAATAAAATGAAAGCAAGTGTTGTGTCAGGCACAGATTATGATGTTGGCAAGATTGAGAAGAATATTAGCATAAAATGCAGTAGTGTAATTGTTTCTTTGCACGAAATAATCCAGTCAGCTCTTCCTCTTGGTGCAAGCACAGATCAGACACTGAGAATAGTGACGAAACTGTACAATGTTCTGTCACATTACGTTAAATATTACCTGGATCTTTACCGCTTGAAAAATTACACCCAGATCTCAGACAAATTTGAAAAAGTTGTTTATATGTCAGGAGACATGATTTCTGGTCCTGTGTATCCAATGATAACTTATATTGAAGGGGTACAAAGGCAAGCAGGGACTAAAAATCAAGGCACACTCACTGCTAGAGCCATAAAAGAATCAAAACTTATACCTTCTCTAATTTTTGCAATTGAACAGTATGAAAAACACTTAATTACACTCTCTCGCAAATCTAAAGTAAATCTAATGCAAGCTATGAAGATGAGTACAGCAAGAGATTTTAGGATCATGCCAGCTGCTCTACTGGAGGTTTTGCAAAAGGATAATGAAGAGGAAGAAGAGTTGAGTGCCGGCGATGAAGACATTCCAGAAGAAGAAGAGACGGGTCATGATGAGCAAAGTTCAGAACATGGTGAAGATGAAGACAACAACAGACACAAAAAAGAGGAGCCTTCACCAGTAAATAAGAAAATTAAAGGACAGAAAAGACAATCTGAAAGAGAAAATGAAAATGGTTCCAACTCTCAGAACCAAATCAATGAGCCACCCAGCAAGCAGAGAAAAAAATCTCTTGGAAGAAAGAAAAAGTAGAATTTTGTAATCCCTTGAAATAATAACTACAGTATACATATCACCATATATATGAAACAAAATGTGGTGACCCCATTACCCAGCTTCCCATTCCCTGTGTTATATTGGTTAAGGGACCACACTGGAGACCCTTCTCACTAAAAGCAAAGTATTTTATTGATTATTTTTATACATGGGACTGAAGCCTCCCTCTCCCCCCTTCCCCCCCCCCCCATCCCATGAAAATGGGGTCATGATAATGAATGAATGAAATAATGAATGTAATATTAAACATTCCATTGTAACAAGAAACAGTATACAGTATTTTATTTGCAGATAAATATTACAAAACAAATTCTTGATAAATATAAAATCATTTTGATTGTTTACATTATAGTTTTAATCCTTTCTCAGCATAATTGTATAGTTATTATTTGATGAATTTGGCCTGTATTTTAGGAAACTGAATCAGTATAAGCCATACTGCACTTTAATTCATTATAAATTAAACAGGTCACATTATTGTGTTTGCTTTTGAACCTAACCTGAATTATGATATGTTGAAACATCAGATATCAGGATTGTGATAAGCCAAAAATCTTAACATTCCAGAAAAAGTTTGCAACCAGCAATACAAAAATCGGGATTTGGAGGTTCAAGCTATCAAGGCAGTTTCAGCAAGTGAGACTAAGTTGGAAAAATGTGCAAATTTGTTTAGATATGTTGTAAAAATAAGGCTTTCACTGAATATATGGATCATCTTTTTGAGCAGATCACCCAACAGTTTCCTAATACAAGATGCCTCATAATTACCTAAGAATAGTTACAGAATGAGAGCTATGCTTGTGGTGTCCCATCTTCCCAGTACTCTTTGTCGTATGACACTGAAACAATTGGCAGTTTTGGCATCCCAAACTGTCGCTTAACTTGTTCCAACCATTTACCACTGCAAAAGTGAACTTTCTGATGTTTTTTGGGCAGCTTTGTTTACTTGTACTCAGCTAGTTGTCCTTGCGGGGATTGAGCTTCGGCTCTTTGGTCCCGCCTCTCAACTGGTGTACAGATTTTTGAGCCCATTGGGCTCTATCATAGCCCAATGATGATATGATATGAACCTCTATCATATCTACATTTGAAACTGTGTATGGAGTCTACCTCTACCACATTAAGCAGTGGCTTAATGTGTTCCATTTAACTACCTTGACACTGAAAAAATTCCTTCAAATGTCTCTGTGGCTCATCTGAGTACTCAGTTTCCACCTGTCCTCTTGTTCATATTCCACCCTTGCTAAATAATATCCACCCTGTCATTTTCTCTGAGAATTTTGTAGGTGATGATCATATCTCATCTTACTCTTCTGTCTTCTAGGGCTGTAAGGTTTAGCTCCTGTAGCCTTTGCTCATAACTCATAACCCTCTGTTCTGGGACTAGTCTGGTGGCATACCTCTGAATCTTCTCTTTGTCTTGTGTTCAACTAATTATGGACTCCAGGCTGGAGCTGCATACTCCAGGATTGGTCTGACATAAGTGGTATACAAGGTTCCAAATGATTCCTTACACAAGTTTCTTATGTTGGCCAATCTAGCATATGCCAGTGATGATAGCCTTTTGAGTTAAGCTTCTGGGGACAGGTTCGGTGTGATATCAAACTCCAGATCTTTCTATTTGACTCTTGCAGGATTTCACCTCCCAGATGGTACCTTATGTTCAACCTCCTGCTTCCTTCACCTGATTTAATTACATTACACTTATATGAGTTAAACTTTAGTAGGCATTTTCTAGACCATTCCTCCACTTTGTGCAGGTCGTCCTGTAGTTTCAGTCTATCTTCATCTGTTTTGATTCTCATAATTTTTGAGAATCATCATCATCCGCAAACAACAGTATAGAAGGAATGAGTCTATACGCTCTAGATGATAGTTTACATATATCAAAAATAGCATGGATCAAAGCCCTGTGGGGCTCCGCTGGTGACATCTCGCCACTCTTTGGTCGTCCCCCTCAAAGTTACTTGTTGTTTCCTGTTGCTTAGATACTTCCTAATCCATTGAAGCTCCTTTTATTTTATTCCTGCTTGTTTCTCCAACTTTTGTAACAGCCTCTTATGGGTTACTGAGTCAAAGGCTTTCTAACAATCAAGAAAATGCAGTCTACCCGCCCTTTTCTTTTTTGCCTAATTTTTATTACCTTGTCATAGAATTGTAATAAACCTGTGAGGCACGATTTGCCATCCCTGAGCCCATGCTGGTGGTGTGTTACAAAGTTCATTCTCTCAATGTGATGCATGATACCTGCCCCCACCCACACAAAATGATGCACGGTGTCTGCCCCACCCCCCACAATGAATCTGATACATGGTTCACCACTGAAGACAATGGTCAACAGACATACAGGGTAGTGTTGCGTGACTTTGAGAAGGGTCATGCTCGCGTTCAACAAGCAACTGTTTTTATCCGCGTCATTTTAAATTTGCTGCACTCGCACTTTTCTCAAAGTCACTCCAAATTGTCTCAACTTTTTCCCGCAAGTCACTTGACCAGGCATATTGTCCTCAAGGTCCGCCGCACTAACACAATGCAGTGCTCGGTCCACATTGTGGCCCTCCCAAGATCAGCACCAGCATGCAGGCTCCTGTAGCCACCATCGTGCGTCCAGAGGTCTCTGCGTACCTGCAAGCCTCTGCAACATCTCACAATATATTGGTATCTTGATATATTGTAAGTTATGTATCATAATATATGTCAGGAGGGTACGATGATCCCCGGAAGTACTTACATTCAAGGTCATTTGATTTCACTGACATTGAAGGTAGGAAGGCTGACCTTGCTGTGTAATACCGCAGTCCTTATGTCCAAGTCGAGACGAGAGGGAGTGGATGGGACACGGACTCACACACACACACAATCTACCTGTTGATTGACAGTTGAGAGGCGGGACCAAAGAGCCAGAGCTCAACCCCTCAACAACTAGGGGAGTACACGCACATACGTCTCGAGACGAAGTCGAATAACCCAAGGAGTTAAGTAGGAACAAAGCAGTTAGCCCAGATGGAGTTTCTCACCTTGGGTTATGAGCAAATGTGCGTCAGAGCTCAGCATTCCACTTCATTTTATTTTTCAGTGATCTTTGTGTACAGAAGTCTTGGCAGATATATGGAAAAAGGCTAACATAGTACCAATCTACAAAAATAGTAGCGGGGAAGACTTTCTTAATTATATACCTGTATCGTTTTGTATTATATATATTATATATACATATATTATTATACAAGGTTATACAGTTACATATCTGATTATTTACAAAATGAACATTAAGAGGAAATAAGGGGAAGTTTGTTTCCTGGAGGCTGTAGATTTCTTTGAACTCCTTCGACGCCAGGCAGGAACCGAGGATGTAGTGGGCATTCATTCCCCCTCTGGATCGCTACACTGAGGCGCTGGAAGAGAAAACTTGCCGCTCTGGGATTTCTTGTAGTGCCAATGAGCCTGGAACCAAGATCCTTAAGAAACCTTGCGCTCTCTCCCCATGTACCTAGGGTTTCAGATCCTATTGGAACGAAGTTGTACCAGTGATCTATTTTCCTTTACTAATTGGTACACTTGTCTCTTTCTCTGTGTGTCGCCGCGGCTCCTGCTTGGCCAACAGAGAGGGTGATGTATGTGGTTGCCAGGGTGGATACGCAAGTGTAGTCCCATGCCAACTGTCTGCTACCCTTCCACAGGCGCAGTGTGATTCCATCTGGTCGGCCGGCAAAGATAGTTATGGTTCAATAGATTGTGGGGGCTCTCTCTCTGCTGGACACTGGGCAGAGTCGAGGCTCCTTTTAATGATGTCATTGACTTCGTCATGTCTAGAGTGCCAGATTTTCCACAGTGCAGGCCATGCAATCCATATTCGTCTACCTCTGCCTCGCCACAAATACACCTAGGAACAGTGTGGATAGGGGCAGCAAGACGAAGAACGACTGCAATACGAACCTGCTGCAGATCAAGATGTGTGCCTGTCGCAAAATAGGGACTGCCAGACGTAAGTCCCCTGCATGGGGAGCCTGCACAGCTGTGAGGTGAGCACGATCACTGGGGGTTGTTGCTGCCTCCAGCAAAGTTGTGGCTTCTTTGTCTACAATGAGTCTGTCCCAGCTAGATTGTTTCTTGGCTTTCAACATGGTTGGTCTGAGTGCTGGGTCTGCCATGGTACCCTATTGTGTGTCGCATTCCGTGTAGTGGGAGTCCTGGAGTCCTGAATTTTTCCACAAATTCTTCATGGAAAACCAGCTGCCGACCTCGTCATCAGAGACTGACCGTAGCCCTACACCTGTAAGGTCACGCTCAGTGACTGATACCGGCCAACTGATTGATTGATTGATGAAGGTTAAGTCACCCAAGAGCCTGGAGCCTGGAACTATTCAGGCACGAATAGCCTGTAATGGCAGCCAACGGCAACCCCCTTCCTTCCTACCTTCGTCGGTGGCCATCTTGGAAAATGGTTTCCAAACTGAACTTTGGAATCCTCTTAAATCTTCAAATTATATATTTAATTGTTCTAAAGTTTAGGCTTGTAACATTTAAATAATACATACCTACAAAATACAAAAAAATCTGGTGAAAGTTACCGATTAACTTGTCATCCTGACACTGCATATTTAAACCAATTATGTCAGCACGCTGCGCACAGGCACTGCAGCTGCGCACGGGCACTGTCACTGCAGCTGCACATGGGCACTGTCACTGCAGCTGCGCACGGGCACTGTCACTGCAGCTGCGCACGGGCACTGTCACTGCAGCTGCACATGGGCACTGTCACTGCAGCTGCACATGGGCACTGTCACTGCAGCTGCACAAGGGCACTGTCACTGCAGCTGCACATGGGCACTGTCACTGCAGCTGCACATGGGCACTGTCACTGCAGCTGCACATGGGCACTGTCACTGCAGCTGCACATGGGCACTGTCACTGCAGGTGTGCACGGGCATTGGAAATAATACAAAAATCCTGGAATCTACCACTGACTAAAGAAGACTGCAAATCCTGGAAGTCAAATCCTGCAAATCCAACCAAACATTAACACGCGAGTCAGCCCTCCCAAGGTTTCCCAACGTCAAGAAACTGTCGTACAAAAGTGCCCTTATCCTAACCTACCAGAGGACCCAAAACAGAAAACGGGACAGTATGTCATTTTCGCGAGCCGCTACTATTTTCTAGTACGACGATTTTTGACCTTAGGGAGAGTATACGTCAAAATGCGACGTTCTGTTAAGAGGACGGGTTATTTAACCAACCTGTCCTCTTAAAAATAACGTCGCTTTTGGCCGTTTGCCCGTATGGCCTAAAGTGGACGTAATTTGAAAATGAAAAAAAAAATGAAAATAAATTTGGGATTTTTTTTTCCAACAACAGTAAGTTAAGGGTCCTTTGGTAGGTTAGGTGGGCAGGAAATTCTCATAAAGTTTCAAATTTTTATGAAAAATGTTAATTGAAAGTTTTCTCTCCTAACCTTTCCGAGTAGGCCGGACGACTCAAAC